CAACTTCAATTATTTAAGTTTATAGTATACTCCCACCAACGGATGATTTGTTTCCTTATTATAAATCATAAATTATTATCCAAATTTATGAATTATCTACAAAAAATATCAGTACAATCCCAAGAGTAAAACAAAAAGTGAACAAATAAAACCAATCAAATTTACGATTGGTCAAAACCCCAATGCCCATAATATATGATCAAGCTTGGCATATTAAAGCTGATCATATATCCTAAGTAATATAATATCGTAACACACATTCCTTGTCTTTTATTATTCCCTTAAACAAATTCCTTTCACACGTAATTAACGATTTCTAATTTTGTTTTAATCTATATTCAGAAGCTGCCATTATTGTTGAACTGTTGTTGCTGCTGTAAAAACCAGAAGTCTTCATCACTTTCTCCAATGTTCCATAAACTGTCCGAAGAAGAAGCAGCCCCATCGATGTTTTCAAACCAGTTTAGACTACTCTGCTCCTGCATAGCCGGCAAATCTTCATCTAATAATCCACTGTAATCGAAATAATTCTCCGGTAACATTTGTGGACCAACCAAATTCTGTTCCGGATAATAACTATTCGCTACTTGACCCGAATAGTATTCCGGGTTCGGATTTGGAGCGTTGTAGTAATCCGTCAAGTCAGACACCGGAGACACTGCCACGCTGGAATTTTCAGGCGTTATATAATCGTTGTTGTTCATTACACCAAACTGTTGTCCCATGTTGTTGTTGTTGTTGTAGTCATACGTCATGAATTGGTTGTTAGAGGTTGTGATGCAAGATGACGTGGCGGCTGACCCCGTCGTGGTGGTGGCGGCTGCGGCTGCGGCTGAGGCCGAAGCCGAGGCGGATTGGATCCTCTCGACGAGTCGAGGCATCCACAAGTACTTCATCGTGTCTTTGAATTGTTGGCTGTTCACATCGCATTTAAGCTGTTTTGCATGTTTTTGCACTCGCGTTCTCCAATAGTTCTTGATCTCGTTGTCTGTTCTTCCCGGTAAATATTGTGCTATTTTTGACCATCTGTTCACCAAAAGAACGTAACACACAAATTAAATTAACTGTTCTAAGCAGATTATAGCCAACCATTAGAAATATTAATATCATATATATAATACATGTAGGGTTTTTTTTACCTATGAACGTCGATAAACAACGTCATGCGTGATTTTTTCTGTTTTTTTTTTTTTGGGTATTAATGTTAAGTTCAAATGTACAGTTGATGCCAAAATTTATGTAAATTAAAATTAAAATTTTATCCGCTTATATACGTGCATGTAACGTGATACATAATAATCTTACAAATCATGTTGTTTAAAGGTGAACATACCGATTGCCCCAACGGGAATGGAGTTCGAGGATCAAGAGTTGTTCTTCGAGTGTAATGTTTCCACGGCGGACGTCAGGGCGGAGATAGTTTAACCACCTTAGTCTACAGCTTTTACCTGTGCGTTGGAGTCCTGTTTCATTGGTAAAATCATAAAATGATGATTACTGCCCGATCAGTGATGTATACGTATAGTTTGATAATTTTATACGTAAGAAACTCATTTAAATAAACGTTTTATAACTGGTAAAGTTGTATATATCAAATTCCCCATCAAAATACAAATGGACCGTAATATGATGCAAAATGCAAATTGTCCTAAAGGGTCTTTTTCTGCAGCAAGCTTTCTATTCCATTGAGTTAGTGCTCTTCCCATATAGACGATGATCATTAATTCGCATTAGTTCGTCTTTTTGTGTTCACCCTTTTTAATAGCCAAGTTTGGATATTTTATTCAAACTTGACATGGTTAATAATTGAATCCACTGGTAAGAGATATCTCACTCGAATCATCAAATACTTTACATTTGAATGAAATTATTATTTTTTAAACAAGAAGAAGAAGAACAGAAAGAGAAAGAGAAAGAAACATAAGAGGTTTGCGTTTTTTGATTCATACCTATGAAGGGTCTTTTCAGTTATGCATATAAGGGAAAGAAGCTATTTCCGAAGTTTCAAGAAAATAAAACTACTTTTAAAAATAGTAAAGGTTGGGCAATTTAAAAGAAAAAAACACAATCACACATGGTGATTGAAACATGAAAAGGATTGAACATAAAGTGATAATCAATTATGCTTTTCGACTTGTCCTTTGTCTGTTTTTGCCAAAAAGATGCACATAGAAGTAGAACATACATAAACAAAACTATTTTTTGCGTTAAAAAAATAAAAATCATACCGGCGCAACGAGAAAGAGAGTTCCATCGACCTTCTCCGTGAGTAGCAATGTAATTGATGAGTTTAAAATCTTCTTCAGCGGTCCATGGACCTCTCTTCAGGTCCATTTCGTCTTCCATGTTGTTGTTCTTCAGGCTTCTTCCTTTCTCATCCATTGATGCGCACAGAGATTCTTGAGCAAAAAGATCGAGACCTCCTTATTGATTCTATGCGGGTTTGTGAAGAGAGAGGGAGAAATAAATTGATATTTTTTTGGAGTTATGTGTAGATAGAGAAAGGATGAGTTTTGAATGCACAAGAAAAAGAGAAGTTGTGGGTTTTATAGAAGAAAAAAAAGATGATAGTTTTCGATTTTTCTTTTTATTTTTAAATTATTTAGAACATGTGCGAAGAAGGGAATAGACAGCCGTAATACAGGAACTGTGTGTTTATTGATTTAATTTTGTACACCTCAATTCTGTTTGTAAACTCAAGTTTTTGTTCTCCTTTAAGTTTAATAAGTTCATGAGGAATAAAAAAGAGTTACCGAAAACTTAAGTCAATTTTAAATAATAATTATAAATTTTGTACTTTACTATTTCAAAAACTAACAAACAAAAGTTATAGAAATCTGTACGTGTAACTTTTATGTTAATATAAACATGACCCATATAAAACATCAACTTTGTATAATACGGAAAAAAATCAAGTCTTTAGTCAGTATCTTGATGTTCTCTAAATCCACTGTTGTCTGTTAGTAATATTTCGTTTTGTTTTTTCAGATATTTATTAACTAGTAAACATGTAATTTTCCTTCCATGTGGACTTTGGTTATACTTTGGTTATAGTATTCACTAGTTTTCTTTTCTTCTATTGTTGATCTTTTCATATACATAAATAAAAAAATGAAACTACTTGTTATAAATAGTCTGCTGCGTTGATAAAACAATAAGCCTATAGAATAAAACTGTCAATAAAAACCTTATTTTAAAATCTACATGCTCCAACTAGTTTTTGGTTATTTGTATTACTTGATTTTGTGCAAAGACACGCTCTCGGCTTTAAGACTTTAATTGAAATCTATTAACATTAATACTAAAGTCTAAACTCTAATTTCTAGGCTCTAGAAGTAGAGAAAGATGCCGTCCAGTTAAAATATCAGTTCATTAAAGGACTCCCAGAAGGAATAATAATGTAAAGAGTTAAACACTTACTGTAGCAGTTAACACATAATTAATTAAGCACTGAGTTTTAAAAGTTGACCCGCTGACTTTCCATCTCTGTAACACAAGTATATTCCGTTTTCGTTTTTTTTTTTCAATTGATAAACTTTGTATTTTTATTTCCTTTTATGGGTTTCTAATAACTTCAAACAAGTTTTTTTTTGTGGCTCTATATTTCAAACAAGTTGCTGTTAATATATTTGCTCTGCCTCAAACAGCTTTTTCCCTTTTAATTTCTCCACTTCCCCCTTATTCCTTCCAGTTCATTTCTGACTTAAAAAGTCCAAATTCATTTACCCCATCAGGCATGGCATATATTTACGCATATATCATAATGATCTATTTTTGTATATACACGAGATCAGCTTCTTTTTTTCACGATATCAAATTATATAGTTATTTCAATGTGATCTTGCATTCCTTAAATTGTCATAAAAGTATAAATGTCTGCGTACCAAGACAAGTTGATATGTGTAACTTATACTATATAATAGTGAACTTTGGTACAATCTCACTTAACTACGTATTTGAAAGCTCTCAAGCCTTCATGCACGACTTAAAATAGATCACTACTCGAATGGAACATTTATATATACAGACGTCATTTTATATGCAGCATCGATCTTCACATGTATATTATGAAACATTTTGAATTTTGTTGTTGTTTTCAGGCGCTGCTTAGTGCTTGTTACGTTTCACTCGTAATTCTCTATAAAATTTCTCTATATTGTTCAAGAAGCTTACATTACTGATTTATTATATATGGGGAAGAAAAGAAGCTTATATATGAATCTATAGATGATATGCCTCTGATAGTCAGTAGTTCAAGAATTTTACTATATTTTGTACTATTTGTTAATATAATCCTTCATAAACCTATATATTCATTGTTTGACTTACATCAGAAATCAATACTATAAACTTTGGATAGTTTAAAATATCCTCGACTATTCGCAAAACCATGTCTATATATAGTTTTTCTAAAAATTCATAGATAGTCTTACAAATGTGATTATATTTAATGAAATGGAAAAATCATGTGTTGTTAAAAAAAAAAAGTCTTACAAATGTGATTATATTTTGTTATTTGAAAAATATCTATATATAAATTATCAAAAATAAACACATTTATATTGGAAACAAAACAAAGATATCTCTATCGAACTATGAACTGGACAAAATTAGTAAATTTGTATTCATAAATGCTATAAGGTAGATGCTTAATTTGTATTCACAAAATTATTAAATATAGGACCACTATCTTTTTTTTTTGGTCAACCAATGCTTCATAGATAAAACTTAAACTCCATCAGAGGAGGAATTGTTTACAACAAACCAAACCATAACCATGGCTGGACAAGAAACAAATGTAAAGCAGATACAATTAAATTCAACACTTAAACACCTAATTTCATAAAGATACTTAACAGCATCTTTAGAGATCAAAGGAAGGTTGAGGCTTTGGGAGTCGAATAGCACATCCAATACTATGAGTCCAACAAAAGCTGCTTCAAGAAGAGTAGTTGATAGGGCAAGCTTTCCAGCAACTAAGTCTGGAGCTAACAAACGCCCGTTAGGAGGAGATAAGTGGCTAACGCAAGAGCCTGAAGAGTCTTGAAAATGGACCACTATCTAAAATACTCCACGCTCAAAGCAACCTACACTAATTGTTGTAATTAATTTGAATATCATTCACTACACTAAACGACGCCGAGCTAATTAATATATGCATCAACTTGTCAACTTGGCAATATATCATAAGTTCATAACTCATTTTGCTGATCAAAACTCAATATTTAAGACAAAATAGTAGCGGTTTATTTGTGTTTTTTGCAAAATATTATCAAATCCTGCTTGTATAGTGTATGCCATGAATCTAACTTGTACGGTGATGCACTAGTATATTGAAAACCACTAGACTATAAATTATCGTCTTTTCGTAACCAATTTGTAGATTTTGGAAATCATGTTTCTTTTTCTAATTTCATGTCGTTAGTAAGTTATTGATGCACTAAATTTTATTTTCTGAATACGGAACCTTATAAATTCCTCTTCTAGCTAATCGAAAATCTACATATATTTGGTACCCAAAATGCTATGGATTTGTTTTCCAAAATTTATACATTTTTTTTATAACATATATGATGGTTCTATGGTTTATAAACTCCCCTTTCCAAAGGTAACAGCTTTCTATTTAAACTCTGATCCAGCTTAATTAAACTAAACCAATTCAATTAACCTGGTCCGGATTGATAAAATGTAATGCACGAGCACTTAGATGATGGTATTGGTAAATTCTGATATCATCCGCTACCACAAAATACAAAATAATAATATCTACATATATGCACATTCTACATTTGATGACTTTCATATTGACTATAAGGCATATCTAAATATTGTTGCAATTAAAAAAAAATTGGGATAGCAAGGACATCACGTGTTGTCTATAAAGCGAGCGAAGTGTAAATGACTTGATACACACTAACAATTTTATAAAAAGACAGATTATAATAGTTACATATGTAGACATAAAAAGATTTGTCTTAGCTCCACACATGTCTTTCTTTTAGGAAACCACATACTTATATAAAATCAAGTCTTTAGAACATCCTAAACAGAAGATGCTTTTTGACACAACAAAACAATTTCACCTCTTCCATAATTTTTAGTATCCAAAAATATGAAAATCTTTTAGTTACTTACAATTTAAAAACCATTTTTGCAAGTTTCAAAAGTTTGGGGCAAAAAAAACTGTGACAATCTAGAACTTTGACGGTCAAACTTTTACTGAAAATAATATAAAGGACAAATCAAAAACTTCATAAATTGAGCTTTTTTAGCATCCATATCTCAACCCATAAAAAGCCATCTCCGACACAAGTCATTGTGATGATCTACGTCCATAATACTTTAATTATTTATTAATTATTTAAAATGGTTAAAAAGACAATTAATCATAATCATTCACATGTCACAACACCTAATGTCTAATTACATACAGAATGTCAATGCAAGAAAATTTCGTTAACACTAAATTGATTATTTTAAGTATTCTTGTATGTTTGTGTTTACATGTAAATTTTTAAATTTAACATAAACATAAACGTAGAGGTTATTCTTAATAGAACCATTACGCTTTAGATCATTGATATGTATGTTTAGACTGGTCCTAGTGAAGTGAATACTCCCATCTATAATCTATACTTTTAAAACGTTATTTCATTACCATATATAGGTTTGGGAAACCACATCAAATATCAACCTTGTTTTCCCTCGGTCCCCGATTTGGGGTAAGTCTGAAAGGGGAAACTGTAAAGAACTATTTTTTTTTGTTTTTTGCTCCAACTGTAAAGAACTTTTAAAAGTTTTGTAAAAAAAAATGAAAAGTCTTAAGCCAAAACTTGGCCACGTGCATTTGAGATAAAAACATTTTCTTCCAAAACTTGCAAGCCTTGAAGTTTAACTGTGATTGGTTGGTCGATATCATAATCTGATTAATGAAAAACAATGAAATAAAAGATGTAACAATGTGTACTTTTCATAAGTTATGTGATTAGGCCAAATTACGAAACAATAAACAATGTTGCCAAATAATATTTGTGGGCATCATTAGTAGGCACAAATCAAAAGGAATCAGCTAGAACCACATACGCACACTCTCGCATACATCCATGTTTACATGTATTTGTCTTCTATATTCTTTTATATTTTAATGGCGATATATAAATATGAACTTATTTATTTTAATTGATTTTTGCCGCAATTTAACATGTTACATGGTCAAGAATATGCAAACAAGTCCATGGTAAGGAAAATGCGTTTTTCTAAAATAGGTTTCGTCAGTCCAAAGTTCTAAATCTTGAATGAGCTTACGTGTGTTAGTTAATGTCAGGACATGTGTTCTCAGGACCACTTACGCATATAAATTTACCCATAACATAACTTATCTTGTTTAAAGTAATCTAAGCATGAAAATGGTTTAAAAGATAAGGATTAATCTGAAAAATGATTGCACTTGGAAATGCTTATGAAAATGACGACAACAATGATGGCATAGTAATAGTTCCAAAAATGTATAGATAGAAATTAAAATAGTATCAAGTGCTTTTAGATCATCTTTGCTTTTGAATCTAAAATACAAATATATGTCCGATGACTTCAATCGGTGTTCATCTAAACGTTTATTATAGAAATTGGTATTTTAACTGCCCATTTTGGTTCTTAATTTAATTAAGTGTTATGTCTGGATACTTAAATTAACATAGTATACAGTACTTTGAACAAATTATATGGATTAGTTCATATTTTAAAGCTCTAATGTTTTAGTGATTGTAGGATCAAAAATTCTGAAATGAATTATCTTTTTCTTTTAAATGGGATATATGCTACATTTCGATAAATTTTCGAATCATTAAGTTTTGCCTTTTTTTCTAATATCTCTGAGATTTATAAAGTTATGTCTGAATGAGACAGGCGAAAGTAGTTTCAAGTCTAGATTCAGTTAATGGCCCTCTCTAACCATACAAAGTCCTCCCTGAACAATGACAGCCCTTTGAGTTTCATTATTTACTTTGTTTATATTTTTGAAAACATACGCCAATAAATTTAAAAAATCGAATATTAGTAAAAGGTCGAAATTAATAGGACTGACTAGTATCAGGAATGACGCGAGTCGCTCGTCTATCATGTGTAAAACAAAGGTTCGAACTTCAGATCCTAGAAGTTTAAGGGAGTTACATATCCTCGAACCAATTTGACAAAAAAAAAAAAAAAAAATTGGTTGGAGGAAAATCTCCGCTAGTCACGGTTATTATTGTTGTTGGGGTATGGATAAAATGGTTTAAAGGCCGCAAGATAGGAAGTTTAATTAACGACACTAGTTTTGAAAAACAATTTGTGTTGAAAAAATGGTTGGGTGTAGGGGAGTAAAATTCCATTATCAATTGATTTGAAGTGGACTAACTACATGACCCATTTTGACAATTGTATTACTTACTTTGAACAACTACGTACTTCTCATCTTTTTACAATTTTGTATTGTTATCTGAAATACACCACTATCACGGATTCACATTCCGATATGTTTTCAAGTCCGGTTGCTCTACAATCCATTCCAATTATTTAGTCTTACATATTATAAAGAATTATACATATTTTAGGAGCACATTGACTACATCACACAATGAAAAGAATTTGACAAACTCCTAATATTAGTATAAAACGAGAAAAAAAATTCCTGTTGGAAGCTTCTAATTCTAATTAATATAATTATGTTTACTTCATATGATTTATTATATGAAATTTTTGGCCCACGTTTCTGGTGATAGTTATAATTAAAGAGAAAACGGAATGTTAATGTAAATGTGAAAGCAAATATGTGAAGTTATATATAATATGAAAGAACACGAAGCTAATAGGGAACATAAAGTAGTATTTACGATTATAAGAAACTTCAAACTTATATTATAAGCAATGTGGTTTCCTCCAAAGTGGAGAACACACAAGTGCTTTGTTAATTATCACTACTTTTTCTCATCTTTTCTCTATATGCCTCGCAAAGGAAACATGCTGTTTGATTAAAGACAAACATTTTTGTCGTTAAACCCATTTCTGTCATATAAAATTGCTTTATTACTATCGCATTTTTTTCAATGCATGAATTTCCCTCATTAAAAAGGATATCTTATGTTTATGTAAGATGGCTATCGACAAAAGAAAAATTACATAAGATGGCTTTTTAAATAATGATGATGAAAGACTCATGAAAGTGTGAAAACACGAATACAATGTATTGTCTGTTCTCTCTAGAGCAATTACTATTTTATAATTCATCAACTAGCGAATCACGCTTTCATTTCCTAAATGCTTAACCAATTGCAACGTTTTATAAATTGCATAATTAGTTTGAACTTAGGATGAGAAATTCGTGTATCAAAGAAAATAAAAAGAATGAGTAAATATCAAATGATTCCAATCATTTCCTCACTAACGTAGGTCCATTTAGCTCAAACTTCAATACCGACTCTTACCAGAAGAAGCTTCAATGCCGACAGTAATGTGTCTTAGAGAGTTAGAGAGCTAATAAACATAAAGGCACACGCGGGACAACCGAGACTCGACAATATCCATTTCGGATTGTGATTTGTGAACCTACAAGGATTATTATTTTATGAATATTATCCATATCGGATCTTAAGAGAACTCTCATACATGTATGTTGTTTGTTAGATTTTGACTCGTAACTTGATTTAAGGTAGAATATTAATAAATTTGACGTGTCCTCCGGTCAAATTAGTCAAAGAGTTCTACGAGTAAGCACAAGTGCACAACCCACTCGTGCGTTTTGGAGTCTCTTGTCTTTGTTGACAAGTCAACAACGGAAGCTTTGATCAAAGCTCATAAAATGTAAACTAATGATACTTTAGCATTATTTAACTGTCATAAGTAAGCGATTTGTCTAACTAAATCACTTTCTCTCTTATGATGATTAAAATAAAGTGTGTTTTCTACGATTTTCTAGGTCCTAGTTACGTGGTCGTTTACTCGTTTATATATGTTTAATGTGAAGTCAAATACTTTAAACTCTTTAACAGAGCAAATAAAAGAAGTCAAATACTTGATTTAATTAGTAGATTAATATAAAATGTAAGATTTCCATCTATTAGTTATACAGCCAATAAGTTATTAGTCAAAGAAGAGTTTATACCGTAGAAACAAAAATCAGTGAAAACACAATTTCAGTTCAAATAAAATAAGGATCGTAAAGTGAGATTGTAGACATTTGTAGTAGAAGTCGAAACCAAATTTGCATAAATGATTAATTTGCTCCTTAAACAAGGTCCTTATTTATTTATACCGGGCCTTTTCTCCTCAAAGCTAAATGACAAAGACCAAAGAAGCTGTGTATATATGTTGTTCATTAATTGAATGAATATAACTAAAAGCCAAACTTTTGTAGTTTAGTGGTTTTCATGTGTTGTTTGGATCTATGTAGAACATTCTTTCATTGGTATGGAATCCACATGGTGGATTAAATCCAAAATGATTATGAAATTCGAAAACAAAACCTCGTACTGGAAAAAAAAACAATAGAGAGAATGGAGTGAACAAGTCAAAGATGAACTCATGTAGCTAGCTAGATGGAGATTGGAGAAGTAGCAATTAGCAAAATATAATAATATAAGGTAAATGAAATCTTAAACGTCGCTGCTTTAGAAAAGGAAGAAAGAACAAAATTAACCATTGAGATTCGGGGAAGTCGGTAAGATATTGAAGTCAAACACCAACTCTTTGCTGTTCCAATATAAACAAAACATTTGTCCCAACTTTCAAATCACGACTCTTCTACATCGAGGCATGATGCATGCTTATGAATTTTGGCCCAACACTTGGTTGCATTTGCATACAAAACTGTGGATTACAGGTAGGCATATTTTTATAATTAATTTAAAAAAATTATTCTTCAAATATCGTAATTATCTTAGTTTCTAGGGTTACCGTTTGGATTTAGTAATATTGTTTAAACACAATAAAATGAGACATTTCCATTGACGTTTATATTGATTTACAAAAACTGAATTAAGTTGGGCTTATAACAATATAATGGGTCCGAGGCCTTTTGGACACGTCCATCTTCTTCTCCACATATAATTGCCCTCCAACTCTCGGCGTTTTATTCACCAAAATATGCAAATCGTGCAGTTTTACTTATGATAAAAGACGACACAGTTCATCGCATCAGAAGTGAAACGACACGTTGTTTACGTTGGATCATGTGGATTCTGAAGAACTCTTTAAAGTTAAAAAAACTTATTCTTCATCGTCGTTGCAAGTGTCTTAATCTCAAACCCTAAATCGTTTGCATCCTTGTGCGAGGTGTTTGATTCTTCTTTCTCTGGTTCCTTCATTGATTTTGTGTTATGATGTTCAAGTCTAAGTTTTTCAATTTCTCTTTGGAGTTTCTTCACCTCACATCAGTTTCCCAGTTGCTCGATTTCCGATAGATTGTAATTCCCCTAAAATTGGTTGTTTGTATGCAGAGCCATCGTTCCCAATGGCCACGGCAGAAGCAGCTCCACCTTCTGCTGGTCCAAGATATGCTCCTGAGGATCCAACTCTTCCCAAACCATGGAAGGGACTGATTGATGGAAGCACCGGCGCTCTCTATTTCTGGAATCCTGAAATCAACATCACTCAGTACGAACGACCTTCTGCTCCTCCTCCACCGTTACCGTCCGGTCCTCCTCCGAAGCTCGCTCAGATTCCTGAAGCTAAACCAGCTGCTCATGTGTCTCAGCACCATGGTTTGCCACAACAATATCCACAACAACATGTAAGACCTCAGATGATGCAGCAGCAGCAAATGCCTCAACAATCAGGTCAACAGTTTCCGCAACAATCGATGGCGCCGCATCAACAGAACCAGCATTCACAGATGCCTCAGCAGCTGAGCCATCAATATGCACATCCACAGCAGCAACAGTACATGGGTTATCGGCCTTACTTGCAACCACAAGGCCTTCAAAACTCACACCAGACACCTCAGGTTGGTCCCCAGGGTCAGCAGTTTCCGAGCCAGCAAGGGGACGAGTTCCATGGTGGTAAGAAAGCTGGGTTTTCTCAAAATGCTGAAGTTTCGCCATCACAGAACAACCCCTTTGAAGCTAAGCCAGCATCACAAAGAACAAATGCAATACCTCAGCAATACAATGGACCTCAAGAAAACGTGCAGCCACAGTTTCAACAGCCAGGGGCTAATCTTGTTCACCCGCAGCTTGGACCTAGGCCTCCAAATCACATGGACCCGACAATGTTGCACCATAAGTCTCATGCTTCCCCATTCCGGTCAAATAATACTTATGAGAGTAATCAACAGTCTAGACCTGGGAATGACCCCTACGTTAACACGAGAATGGAAGGGCCAATTAGGCCACTTCATCCTGCAGCAATGCCTAAGGTTAGCTGCTGATGATCACTTCTCTTGCCTATCTTGTGGAATATCTCTGCCTCACAGTCATTTCTCATGAAAAGAACCTTTTTTGTATGCTATGCAGGATATAAGGATAGGTGGCGGTACACCACCTGCAAATGCTGATCCAGGGCATGGAACATATAGACACGCTGGTCCAGCTTTTCCAGCCGTAGGGAGGACTCAGTTCGCCACACCTCCTGATGTTTCCCATCTCTCGCCTGTTGAAATGTACCTGAAACAACATGAAATCTCAACAACTGTAAGTTCATGTTTCTTGGATTGCTTGGCTTAATTCTGTAAGTTTTTTTTTATAAGGTGTAATGTGCTGTAATATTTTGCAATTGTTGTTTCAGTGAATGTTTGTCCATAAAACTCTACTGAGAATGTGGGATTGGACGAACTTCAACTGAATAAGTAATAGCATTTGAGAATAGTGTTAAACCTTGCTTCTTCCCATCTTTTCTGATCTGTAAGCGGCCTTTAAAAATCCATTGTTGTTGTTGTGCAGGGTGAGAATATTCCAGCACCATTCATCACATTTGAATCTAGTGGTCTCCCACCTGAAATACTTAGAGAGGTCAGTTTTGTTACTAACTTTATTAATGGCGTTTTTCACTCTTTTCCACGTGTTAATGTTTGTAGTTTTGTTTTTTTTCAGTTGCTTTCTGCTGGATTTCCGTCACCAACACCGATCCAGGCTCAAACATGGCCAATTTCTCTGCAGAGCAGGGATATAGTTGCAATTGCAAAAACTGGTTCCGGTAAAACTTTGGGATACTTGATCCCTGCCTTCATTCATCTAAGGCAATGTCGTAATGACCCCCGCAACGGCCCCACAGTTTTGATCTTAGCTCCCACTCGAGAGCTTGCCACACAAATACAAGACGAAGCACATAGGTTTGGCCGGTCTTCAAGGATCTCCTGCACTGTAAGTTTTATTTTTGAGTCACTTTTGACATTTGTAATCAGTCCATATAGAGCTTACCCTTAACTGTTTGAATACTAATCTATATGTTGGTTATTATTTATCAGTGTTTGTATGGTGGAGCTCCAAAGGGTCCTCAGTTGGGTGAGTTAGAGCGAGGAGCTGATATTGTGGTGGCAACTCCTGGGCGCCTAAATGATATATTGGAGATGAAGAGGATTGATTTCCAGCAGGTTTCGCTTCTGGTGCTTGATGAGGCAGACCGGATGCTTGACATGGGTTTTGAACCTCAAATCCGTAAGATTGTGAATGAAATACCTCCTCGGAGACAGACTCTTATGTACACAGCAACTTGGCCAAAAGAAGTAAGAAAAATTGCTGGCGATCTTCTTGTGAACCCTGTCCAAGTTAACATAGGCAGGGTAGATGAGTTGGCCGCAAACAAGTCTATAACGCAGGTGATGATCATCTAAAACTATTTCTTATCACTCTTAAACATCCTTCCATTAAGTTGGTGAGAGGTTTTACTGAACTAAATCCATGCTTATATATGCAGTATGTCGAAGTTGTCCCACAAATGGAGAAAGAGAGACGCTTGGAGCAAATCCTTAGGTCGCAAGAACGAGGTTCTAAAGTTATCATATTCTGTTCCACGAAGAGGCTTTGTGACCATCTTGCACGCAGCGTGGGACGTAATTTTGGCGCTGTCGTAATCCATGGGGACAAGTCTCAGGGTGAGAGAGATTGGGTACTTAACCAGTTCCGAAGTGGGAAGTCGTGTGTGTTGATTGCTACTGACGTTGCTGCCCGGGGACTCGATATAAAAGACATAAGGTTTGTTATTATAGTTTTTGGTATCTCGTTGCTTGATTGTTATCAAGATTGTTTACTTACCTTTGCTTGTTTTACACCATTACAGAGTTGTGATCAACTACGATTTTCCAACCGGTGTTGAAGACTATGTCCACCGTATCGGGAGAACTGGTCGAGCTGGTGCAACTGGAATTGCATTCACTTTCTTTACAGAGCAAGATTGGAAATACGCGCCTGATTTGATCAAGGTCCTGGAAGGAGCAAACCAGCAAGTGCCGCCTCAGGTGAGGGAGATTGCAATGTGTGGTGGTGGTGGTGGTGGTCCAGGTTTTAGCCAGGACCGAAGAGGAATGGTAAATCGTTTTGACTCTGGCGGTGGTGGCGGCAGCCGTTGGGATTCTGGTGGACGTGGTGGTGGGTTTGGTGGTCGTGGTGGTGAATTTGGAATGAGAGATGACTCATATGGACGTGGCGGGAATCGGGACAGGGGTTATCCTGGTCCTGATGCTAGTCATATGGATGTTGGTAGAGGCGGATTTGGTCGGTTTGGCAATAATAATATGAATGGCCGAGGGTTTGATCGTGGTGGTAGAGGCTTTGATCGTGGTGGTGGTGGTGGTAGAGGCTTTGATCGTGGCGGTGGTGGTGGTAGAGGCTTTGGTCGTGGTGGTGGTGGACGGTTTGACAACAGAAGAGGTAGAAGCCGTAGCAGAAGTCCTGACTTGGTTAGGCCACGAAGGCGCCGTAGCCCGAGCTATAGCAGGAGCCGAAGCCGGAGCTATAGTCGTAGCCGTAGCAGGAGCTGGTCACGGTCAAGGAGTCGTAGTCCTAGGCAGAGCCGTGACCGTGGTGGTCATAAGCGGAGCAGAAGCTATAGCCGTAGTCCTAGCCCGGTTTATGAAAGACGGGACAGGCCACGGCGTGTATCTGGGTTTGATATTAAACCACCAGCTGAGTCTATCGTGAACCCGGACATTGCAGCGGCGGCTCCTGAAACAGCGGTCCGTACTCCATTGTCTGAGAAACAAGGGAATGGGATTGTCCAGACAGAGGTAGAAGCGGCTCTAGTACGACAAGTGGCTGATGAACCCTAAAAGTCTAGACTCGAAACAGAGAATGGTTTAAAAACCTCAAGCGAAGAAATCGCAGTTCATCCAAGAAAATTTTGGTTATTGAATGGATCCACCAACTCAGAAAATTTGTTGGAGTTCCTTTATTTTTTATGTTTTATCCTCATTTTCTTGTTGTATTATGGAGAGTTAGTTTGTAATGTATTGAGAATTTTATCGTTTTTGTAAACCTTCAAATCAAAATCTGGACAAGAAATGGAGAATGGTGGACTAGAGATAAGTGTGACTGTAGAGATAAACAAGCAGCATTTAGAGATAATTAAGTCGCAAACTTGGTATATTTATAGACTAGTTTCAGTGTTGAACTCTTGACGAAACGTTGGTTCGCGATTCGCGAATGCTGTTTATTCTTAATTCTTGCATATCTGTGTATATCGTGGAAAGTCAAAGTCCATTTTAACTTGGAAGATGATGAGGCCATTCAAGATTTATCTGACATTTTGATATCAAATGTCAACTTTCTCATGATTTTTTCTTCAAACTATCCCAACATTTTCCACACAGCACATGAAGAGATCAAAACTCCAAAATATTCAACAATTCGAGACAATTAATCAAAAAAGTTATAAATTTTGGAAAATTAATCGCTTTTGTTTCCCACCTCTCTCGTCTTCTTCGCGTAGTTCTTGGAATGGAAGTTGGAAAAGAGAGCCAACAGAGAAGCATTAAACGCCGCGTTGAAACACCATCCCCAGATCCCGGAGCAACCCGACCCGAAGAAATGCTCGCGGAGCATCCAACCGGATAACCCGAAGCTGAAAACAAACTGCACAATCTGACAATCCGTCACCAACCTCTTCCACTTGGGCCTGGATCCGACGGCGCAGAGGAAGTAGTAGCCGTACATGATGACGTGGACCGTCGAATTCGTCACGAGCGCAACCGGAAACATCGATTGGCGGGTTCGGAGCCAGAGGTAGCACATGACCACAACCGTCGCGTGGTGGTACACGTGGAGGAACGAGAGACGCTGGATTGATTTGCCGAGTATGATGAGGACTGTATCTCCGAACTCGAGGATCTTCGAGAGGTAGAAGACTTGAGCCCAGAAGAAAAGCGGTCCGTTAGGTTTCACATCGACCGGGAAGCAGATCGCGTGGAGGAAACGCGCCTTCGGATCTGAGAGCGCGCGAGATGAGGTGATGGAGAGAGTGCAACCGACGGCCATGATTAGGGAGAGGAGGCAGAGGATTAGGCTGTGGATGGCCGTGATTGGTTTGAGAATGCGGGGACCGAGTGAGGGGAGTGAATCGATGGCGGAGCGGAGGAGAAATGTGGCGGAGAGGTAAACGGAGACTGCGGCGGAGACGAAGAAGACGGTGGAGCCTAGGGTTTCACCTTCGGTCCACGTGAAATTGGCGATGTTGGGGTGGTTCACGAGCCAGTAGGTTAGAGTGGAGGAAACTGATGCCATGGCGCGTCCGGTTTCAGGCGGCGGTTCGCCCGTAGAAGTTTGAAGATATGGTTCAGACTTGAGAGAGAGAGAGGATCAGAGGCCCACTTACCCGATCGGCTAATCTACATCCAAGTGGGTCCCAGGGAATCATATTTTTCTATTTATTGGGAACCATATCATAGACATTCGTATTTGTCTAATTTGATAATGGGGTGGGTGATGCATTGCATGGTTGTTGTTTTTTTATTCGCTATGCATAACATTGTAATTTCCAGCTATAAAGATTTGTTAGTTTAAGATATGAAATGAAGAAATTTTTTAAAATGAATAAAAGCTATGAAATTGGTTAACAAGCTAATACTAAAGCCACAGGCAGTTTATTTACATATGAGAGAGTAGATGATATTTATTAGGAAGAAAATCGTCGAAATTAGAAGTTTCAAAACCCAAAAAGGAGCAGTTTTGTTCTCTCTCTTTCCTTTTGGGTAAAAAATGATTCCATATCTTCTATTCCGAGGAATAGTATGACTCGAAATCTCCTGATAGAGACAATTGTTTGGGGGAGAAAACATGACGATTCAAGTTTGACAAAACAAAACAAAAATGGTATATAGTGAAAAGAGACGTGTAAAAAAGCGGCGTGCGGAAGTGTTCGAAGTAGTGACCAATCACAAGCAGTGTTTGAAACCCGAGTCAGAGACACAGAAACAGACATCTCTCTCCTCCCATAAGAACTCCACATCACAGTCACCTTTTTCTTACTTTACAAATTTACAATACTATTTTTTTGTGTGTTCCCTTCTTCTCCACGTTTATAATCTGTAGGCTGAATTTTTTTTTAAACTCACGGCTCTTGTGAAGATGTCAAAGTATAGAGAAGGAGAGCTGCTCATTTGCTTTATCCGTTAATAAAACAATTTTCAAAGTATCCACGAGAGATACATTTTCCAGTTACAACAAATCAAGAGATCGAAACCCCAGAATATTCAAACAATTTAATGATTTATTTTGCATAATAATAATCATTCACACTTTTTGCTCTCCAGTGTTGTCTTCTTCACATAGTTCTTGAAATAGAAGTTGAGGAAGAGATCAAGAGAGAAGCATTAAACACACCGGTAAAGAAAGCTACCAATACCCCGAGCAACCCGACCCGAAGAAATGCTCTTGATGCATCCAACCGGATATCCCGAAGATGAAAACAAACTGCACAATCTGACTATTTGTCACCAACTTCTTCCACTTCGGCTTCGATCCGACGGCGCAGAGGAAGTAGTAACCGTACATGATGACGTGGACCGTCGAGTTCACGAGCATAACCGGAAACATCGACGTGCGGGTTCGGAGCCGAGGTAGCACATGATCACAACCGTGGCGTGGTGGTACACGTGGAGGAACGAGAGCCGATGGATTGATTTGCTGAGTAGGATGAGGATTGTGTCTCCGAACTCGAGGATCTTGGAGAGGTAGAAGACTTGAGCCCAGAAGAAAAGCGGTCCGCTAGGTTTCACGTCGACTGGGAAGCACATCGCGTAGAGGAAACGCGCCGTCAGACCCGAGGGCGCGTGAGAAGAGAACAGGGAGAGTGTGCAACCGACGGCCATGGTAAGGGAGAGAAGGCAGAGGACGAGGCTGTGGAGGGCTGTGATTGGTTTGAGAATTCGTGGACCGAGTGAGGGGAGTGCATTGTTGGCGTAACGGAGGAGGAATGTGGCGGAGAGGTAAATGGAGACTACGGCGGAGACAAAGAAGACGGTGGAGCCTAGGGTTTCACCTTCGGTCCACGTGAAGTTGGCGATCTTGGGGTGCTCCACGAGCCAGTAGGTTAGGGTGGAGTAAACCGACGCCATTTTCCAGCGAAGTTAGTTTGAGGATATATTGTAGACAGACAAGCGGCGATATTTATATATATTATTTTGTTTTCACAAATTTGTTCGTTAATGAAAAGTGAAAACCAATAATGTCAATGCGTCGCGCGCGAATGTTGGAACATATTGAGTAAACCGATGGCATTGCGTCATCGGAACTCATGCGTCCCCGGTTTCCCGGCGCTGATCTGAACCAATGTGCATGGGAGAGAGACGAAGGATCAGAGTGTGCGTATCATTAAGTTTTATTTTATCACATGCATAACGTGGGAACGTAATATCGTGAAGAATGCATCATCATCAGTCTTTATTTTAACATGAATAACGTGGGAAGGTAATATCGTAAAGAATGCATCATCACTAAGTTTTTCAAGCTCTAAATAAGTCATGCGTATAGAATCAGTCACGTTTGTTTCAGGGTTTCTGCATCTTAAAGTTGAGTGAAGTTGTTATGAATTTTGATGTTTCGTTTGTGTGTTTTTGAAGACCGTGGTATTAAATTAAACACTAATTAACCTAAACTGAAGCATTTTCGCTATACTAATTACAATTCCAGTTGTATGTGGATATCAAATTCAAGGACAAACGTAAAAGAAACTAGGTGATTCCCCTTGCACCTTGTGCGGGCTGTAGATGAATTATAAAATTGATGTTTAATAATTATAAATTCTTCCAGATTTTATGTTGCATTTGTGTAAATTGTTAAATAGCAATGTTACATTTGGTAGCATTATATATGATCTTATTCTTGCCCAAAATAAACCTCTCCATCGCTTTGTCGGTCTCTTTTGCTCTCTCTGCCTACACATATGATTCTACTTTCATTATTGCAAATTAGATATAGCTTATGCAAAAAAGGACATTTAAGATATGAAAACTTTCACAAATAAAAAGTCGTTCAATCCATGTATGAGACTGACCATTGAGCTAGAAGTATCTCTTTCTAGAGGAGAACAATCTCAGACTATATGTTTCAAACACATAGCTAAAATAATCAATTTGGTATTCAAGTTTTCTGTAACCCGTTTAAGAGAAAGACTTATAACATCTGCATCGCAGGATTTTGTTGGGATTATGGAAAGAAAAAATAAAAATAAAAATAAAAATGAAAAGAGGTGGCAAGTAAAAGCAGCAGAGACGGTTCTGTTCAGAGAGCTGGAAGAGTCGATCTGAAGAGGAGCTCTCCATATGTCTTCACTTAATTAGCCCATTTATCTATTTATTTTATTTTTTTAAAATTATTTTTTTAATATATCTCAGAGTCTCTCATGCATGGATGCGGATGCTCTTATATCTTTACTCTATTTATGAACTAGGAAACAATGAATGACACCACTCACAACCGGAGCCGTTCCTGAGTTTGAAACGGCCACAAGCTTAGAAAAAAGGGGCTGATTTAATTTATTAAAAAAACATCAAAAAGAAAAAGTCTCTTTGTACAAATGATGCATTGTAATAAGAGGCACATGAGTCAAACCACTAGACTAAAGGAAAACTTTGGAAATTTAGGGCCGGAATTATATATTGATATAGGCTGGCCGCAAGCACTTGCTTGTTTTGCTTGGCCTCAAGGCCGGCTCTGCTCACAACTCACAAGACTTAAATAGTCTAAACTGTTATAATTATATCATATATTTTATTTGTGTCTGAGAACTATATTTGTGTTGAGAAATATTTGTAAAAGGAAACTCTCGGAAAGATTTTGTGAATGAATCTATACTAAAGAAAGAAGTGTACCAAATAGGAGGAAGAAGGACAATTTTGTATTGCCTTAGATGTGTCTTACAAATGAAACGAATGACTCAATTTATAGAGCCATATTCGACAAGAGTTACTGTGATGGAAATTATGACATGGGCTCCAATTTGTGTATACACGCAAAGTCTTGACTTTTGCAACACTCCCCCTTGGAGTCCATCGTCATATGTATTTGTAGTTGTCTCGTTAAAAATCCTTTCCAGGAAAACCCATTGGGAAAAACCATGGTAAGGCAAAAAGAGTACAACTGTATAATCTCCCCTCGAATGACTTGGTTTCATAGGTCTCGTTGATGACGCATTCCGAATGTTATGGATATGTTTCTTAAATGTTGAGGTAGGTAGTGACTTTGTGAAGAGATCTGCTGCATTCTCGGATGACCGGATATATTTCACCTCAATAGCTTTGTTCTTCTCAAGTTCTTGGGTATATGAAAAGAACTTAGGTGGAATATGTTTGGTTCTATCGCTTTTGATATATCCTTCCTTCGTTTGAGAAACACATGCAGCATTGTCTTCATATAATATGGTTGGTTCTGTATAGACTCGGATTCCACTACTTGATTGGATATGTTGACTTATTGACCTAAGCCAAACACATTCTCTACTTGCCTCGTGGAGCGCAATGATTTCAGCATGGTTTGAGGAGGTGGCCACGAGAGTTTGTTTCTGGGAGCGCCATGAGATAGCGGTTCCTCCGACAGTGAAAACATACCGGTTTGTGAACGAGCTTTGTGAGGATCAGATAGATACCCAGCGTCTGCAAAACCAATCATTTGGTCATCTGCGTTTTTAGGGTAGAATAATCCTAAATCAATCGTCCCTTGAAGATAGCGAAGTACATGCTTAACTCCATTCCAATGTCTTTGAGTTGGAGATGAGCTAAATCTTGCCAAGAGATTAATGGCAAATGATATATCAGGACGTGTACAATTCGCAAGATACATAAGGGCACCAATAGCACTTAAATATGGTACTTCAGGACCAAGTATCTTTTCATTTTCTTCAGGTGGTCGAAAAGGATCTTTTTCAACATTAAGTGACCTAACTACCATAGGTGTACTCAGGGGAGTTGACTTATCCATGTAGAAACGTTTTAACACTCTTTTGGTATAAGTAGATTGATGTACAAATATACCCTTTTCAGAATGCTCATTTGTAAGCCAAGACAAAACTTTGTCTGTCCGAGATCTTTCATCTCAAATTCCCCTTTTAGATAATTAGTTGCTTCATGTATCTCTTCATGAGTTCCTATAATATTTAGATCATCAACATACACCGCGATAATTACAAATCCGGATGATGTTTTCTTGATGAAAACACATGGGCATATAGGGTTATTGATATATCCCTTTTTGATCAAATGCTCACTTAGGCGATTATACCACATGCGCCCCGATTGTTTTAACCCATATAATGACCTTTGTAATTTTATTGCACATAATTCTCTTGGTTTAGAACTTAATGCTTCTGGCATTTTGAATCCTTCGGGGATTCTCATATAATATCAGTATCTAATGATCCATATAAATATGCTGTGACGACGTCCATAAGACGCATTTCTAGATTTTCACTAGCCGCTAGACTCATCAGAAATCTAAATGTGATTGCGTCCATGACAGGAGAATAAGTTTCCTCATAATCGATTCCAGGCTTTGAGAAAAACCTTGAGCCACGAGACGAGCTTTATGTCTCATAATCTCATTATTCTCATTTCTTTTTCGAACGAAAACCCATTTATACCCAACTGGTTTGAACTGATTTGGGTATGACTACGATAGGTCCAAACACCTCTCGCTTATTAAGCGAATCAAGTTCGACTTGAATTGCATTTTTCCAGTTTTCCCAGTCATGTCTCTTTTGACATTCAGATACAGATTTTGGTTCTGGATCTTCGTTTTCCTCATTTATTTCGTTTGATACAAGATATGAGAAAAACTCATCAACATCATCCATTTCATTTCGATTCCATATCTTTCCATTATGAATGTAGTTGATAGAGATCTCATGATTTTCTTCGGACTCGGGAAGTTCGATATTTTCATTGGCTTCATGACTTGTTTCTCCTAAAATACTTTCTGTTATTTTAGGATCATCATGCTTCTCAACTTCCTTTCGCTTTCTAGGATTTTTATCCTTAGAACCAACAGGTCTACCACGCTTCAAGCGTGTTTTAGACTCACGTGTATCGTCTGCCTTTGCACGTTCATGTGGTATTTCAATACGAGCAAGGGGCATTTGCAGCTGGTATATGTGATTTTGTTACCAATTTGGTATCAGCAAACGCATCAGGTAACTGATTTGCTATATTCTGCAAATGCATAATTCGTCGAACTTCTAGTTCAGATTGTTTTGTAGGAGGATCAAGGTGTAGTAAGGATGGTACACACCACTTGATATCCTTCATTTCTTGCTTATTTTCTCCCCCTAGAACCGGGAATACTTTCTCATCAAAATGGCAGTCAGCAAAGCGTGCCGTAAAGACATCTCCCGTTTGTGGTTCGAGATATCGTATAATAGACGGGGAATCGCAACCAACATATATTCCTAATCTTCGTTGCGGTCCCATCTTTGTACGTTGTGGTGGTGCTATAGGTACGTATACCGCACAACCAAAAATTCTTAGATGAGAAATATTTGGTTCTCGACCAAAAGCCAACTGTAATGGGGAATACTTATGGTATGCACTTGGTCTTATTCGAATAAGAGCTTCTGCGTGTAAAACAGCATGTCCCCATACAGAGGGTGGGAGTTTTGATCTCATGATCAATGGTCTAGCAATTAATTGCAAACGCTTAATTAATGATTCGGCCAAACCATTTTGCGTATGAACATGGGCCACAGGATGTTCAACATTAATCCCAGTTACCATACAATAATCATTGAATGCTTGAGATGTGAACTCACCAGCATTATCTAGTCTAACTCCTTTTATTGGATAATCAGGAAACTGAGCTCTTAGTTTGATTATCTGAGTTAGAAATCTCGCAAATGCCACATTTCGAGATGATAATAGACAAACATGTGACCATCTACTTGACGCGTCAATCATTACCATGAAGTAGTAAAATGGTCCACACGGTGGATGTATAGGTCCACATATATCACCTTGGATTCGTTCAAGGAATTTTGGCAATTCTTTATCAATTTTGGATGGTGATGGCCTTATTATCAATTTTCCAAGAGAACACGCGGCACACGTCATTTTCTTTCCTTGGTATATTTCTTGCATTTTCAAGGAATGCCGTGTGAGTTCTCAATAATTTTTCGCATCATAGTAGTACCAGGATGGCCAAGGCGATCATGCCATATTGTGAAATCATCAAGATTTCTTTTGATCACTAGATGTGACTCTATCTCATTTATATATGTATGATGCAAACCAGAAGGGAGTTTTGGTAACTTTTCCAATACTTTCACTTTTCCTGATTTTTCAGAAGTAATATACATATACTTCTTTCCATCCTCAGTCGCTGACTGAGTATCAAACCCTTGAAGGTATATATCTTTAAAACTCAACAAATTCCTTTTTGAATTTGGAGAAAATAATGCATTATCTATTGAGAATCTCGTCCCATTAGGTAATGCAAAATTAGCGTTACCAGTCCTTCAATCAAGTCTGCAGGACCTGAGATTGTATTGACAATAATCTTTGTCGGTTTTAAATTAGAAAAATATTTTCTATGTTTCAGAATAGTGTGCGTTGTTCCACTGTCTGGTATACATATATCTCCATTATTCATCTTGGATGTTGTTCCATTCGTTTTGTAATCCATTTCTGAGATCAACAAAACAAGTTATATAAATAAGGTAATTTTATTAATCAAGCAAACAGCACACAATAATTATACATTAATAGTTAAAAATTACACAATAATTATACATAAGTAGTTTAGCATCACACAATAATTATACATAAATAGATAGTGCAAGCATTATTAATTTTAAACATTTCACACAAGTGGCAATTATTTATAACACAATCCTTGGGATTTCATGAGTCACATGACGGATATTTCAGACTTCAGATGGGACGGTGTCATCGAAATCATCTGCAAAGTCAGAAGCATCGAGGTGGGTTGTTCCCTCTGAGTGCTCTGCAAGGTTTACTTCTTTTCCTTTGCCTTTGGCAGAATCTTTGTACAATGTACAAAGGTGCCTAGGAGTACGGCAATTCCGGGACCAATGTCCTTTTGTACCGCATCTGTAACAAACAGTCTCTCGCTTCTGGGAGGTGTTTCCTTGGTGCTCTTTTTCTGAAGATTGTTCAGAGCGATTCCATTGGAATGACCTTTTGTTATTTGGGTTGTATCTCCCACGTCCGCCACGTCCGCGATTGTTTCGACCTCCACGACCTCGGAAAGAATTGTTTTCTTTCACCGGTTTCTTTACATCCAATGCGTTTGCTTCAGGAAACGCTTTGGATCCAGTAGGTCGAGTCATGTGATTCTTTATGAGGAGCTCACTGTTTTTCTCCGCAATTAGGAGTGCCACAATCAAATCAGAAAATTTGGTGTATCCCCGCAACTGTATTGTTGTTGCAGGGTGATGTGATCCTTGTGGAATGTGGTGTACGTTTTCTCAAGCATTTGAGCTTCCGTTATGGTTTCACCACAGTATCTCAGTTTGGCCACAGTTCCTAACACGGCGGAATTGTAGTTAATCACTTTGTCAAAGTCTTGGAACCTCAGACTTTGCCACTCATCCCGAGCAAGTGGAAGTGTTATGTCTTTCTGATGATCAAACCGATCTTTCAGAGACTTCCAGAGCTCTTTGGGATCCCTCGTGTGTGCATAATCATATATGATGCTCTCATCTAGGTGTCTTCTAAGGAAGATCACCGATTTCGCCTTTTCTTGGGCCGTCGACTTATTGTTCTCTTTTATGGTTTCTGATAACGCAAGAGATTCCAAATGAAGTTCGACATTCGTGGTCCAAGAAATGTAATTAGCACCAGTGATGTCCAAGGCCGGGAATTGGAGCTTCTCGATATTTGCCATTATGTCTAAAATAAAATAACACAGAGTATTATTAGCAAAATAATTTTATTTAATTTAAAATATGCGTGGAGCTGGAATAAATAACGAGATTACAAGAAATACAATTGCATAAAACATTAACATAAAAATCATCACATATTCTTCTGGAGAAAATTCTCCAATATATAAACTATAAATTGCAACAAAAATATAACCTATTACAAAAATTAAAAATAGATTAAGCATTTTTTTTCTTTGAGGGATTCGATGAAAGATAAATTGTTTGAGTGAAATGAGTGAATGAAAAATAAGTGTATTTATAGATTAGAAAATACTGTTTATTAGCCGTTTAAGTAGCCGTTAGAAAGTAAAAAAAAAAACTTTTGGAGAATTAACTTTATGACCGTTGGAAGTAAAAAAATAATTCTATAAATATATAATAATTTAAAAATGTTAGAAAATAATTGTTTACTAGTTCAGATATAAAATATAAATTTTAACAGTAATTATGATTTAAACAGAAATTTAAAGATAAATATATGGTGATTAATTCATCCATATAATAACAGTAAATAAATAAATATGGTGAATGAATCAACCATAAAACAAATAAAATAAAACATGTTAAATATGGTGACTAAACTCATCCATAAAAATAGATTGAATAAAAATTGCAGAACAAATAAATAAATAAGTATGGTGACCAAAATCAACTATAAGTTAAAATAAAGCATGATAAATGAATATGGTGATTAAAATCAACCATAAGTAAAAATAAAGTATGGTAAATAAATAAATGAATATGGTGATTAAAATCAACCATAAAGATAGAGTAAATAAAAGAATAACAGCAAGTAAAAATATTAGGAGGTTAAACCGTCCATTATGGTGTATAAAACAACCACTGTAAAAATAAAGACAAATTGTTGCCGGGGCGGCGAGCCGCACTCCGAGAATGGTAAATTTAATTTAGAATTTAGAATTATAATGGCAGAGTGATCGTGCTGATAACGTGTTATAATTATATCATATATTTTATTTGTATCTGAGAACTATATTTGTGTTGAGAAATATTTGTAAAAGAAACTCTCGGAAAGATTTTGTGAATGAATCTATACTAAAGAAAGAAGTGTACCAAATAGGAGGAAGAAGGACAATTTTGTATTGCCTTAGATGTGTCTTACAAATGAAATGAATGACTCAATTTATAGAGCCATATTCGACAAGAATTACAATGATGGAAATTATGACATGGACTCCAATTTTGTGTATACACGCAAAGTCTTGACTTTTGCAACATAAACAATAATAATCCATAACTTCATTTTAGAGATAGGGAGAGCTCGATACTCCAGCTCGATTCAAGTTTGACCAAAAAAAAAAAATGGTAAAAATGCGGCGTTTTAGGCGCAAGTGTTCGAAGTAGTACTCGTGACCAATCACAAGCAGTGTTTGAAAGTTGAAACCCGAGTTGGCAGTGACAGACATCTCTCTCTCAGTCACCTTTTTTCTTACTTTACAAATTTACACTACTATTTTCTGTGAAGAGAGAACGAGAGCTGCTCATTTGCTTTATTTGACATTATCATATATTATATTTTTCCATCTTATTCATAATAAAACAATTATGAAACTATCCAAGCCACGAGATACATTTTCAATAAACAACAAATCAAGAGATCGAAACCCGCCAGAATAATATTCAAACAATTCTAAGACAATTTAATCATTTCTTTTGCATAATAATAATCAATCGCATTTTTTGCCCACCTCTCCAAGGTTGTCTTCTTCACATAGTTCTTGAAATAGAAGTTGAGGAAGAGAGTCAAGAGAGAAGCGTTAAACGCACCGGTAAAGCAACATCCCCAAAACCCCGAGCAACCCGACCCGAAGAAATGCTCTATGCCCATCCAATTACCTAACCCGAAGGTGAAAAGAAACTGCACAATCTGACTATCCGTCACCAACCTTTTCCACTTGGGCCTCGATCCGACGGCGCAGAGGAAGTAGTAACCGTACATGATGACGTGGACCGTCGAGTTCACCATGATCCCAATCGGAAACATCGACGCGCGTGTTCGGAGCCAGATGTAGCACATGATCACAACCGTCGCGTGGTGGTACACGTGGAGGAACGAGAGCCGATGGATTGATTTGCTGAGTAGGATGAGGATTGTGTCTCCGAACTCGAGGATCTTGGAGAGGTAAAAGACTTGAGCCCAGAAGAAAAGCGGTCCGGTTGGTTTCACGTCAAGGGGGAAGCAAACCGAGCGTAGCAAACGCGCCCCCAGACCCGATGGCGCGTGGGAAGAGAACAGGGAGAGTGTGCAACCGACGGCCATGGTAAGGGAGAGAAGGCAGAGGACGAGGCTGTGGAAGGCTGTGATTGGTTTCAGAATCCGTGGACCGAGTGAAGGGAGTGCATTGTTGACGTAACGGAGAAGGAATGTGGCGGAGAGGTAAATGGAGACTACGGCGGAGACAAAGAATACGGTGGAGCCTAGGGTTCCACCTTCCGTCCACGTGAAGTTGGCGATCTTGGGGTGCTCCACGAGCCAGTAGGTTAGTGTGGAGTAAACCGATGCCATTTTCCGGGAAAGTTTGGAGGAACTGAAGTTAGTTTGAGGATATTAATTGTACAAAGATAGAGTGACGGCATTTAATTTATACTATGTTTGTTTTCACATCTTTATTCGTTAATGAAAAGCGACAACCAATAATGTCATTGCGTCGTAAGTGAATGTTGGAACATGGAGTAAACCGATGACATTGCGTCACCGGATGTCACGCGTCCCCGCTTTCCCTGCGCTGATCTGACCAATGTGCATGGGAGAGAGATCAGAGAGAATGTATCATGAATTTTTGTTTTATCATGCATAACGTGGGAACGTAATTAATATCGTAAAGAATGCATCATCAGTCTTTTATTTAATGCATAACGTGGCAAGGTAATATCGTAAAGAATGCATCATCGGTTTTTTCAGGCTCTAATAAGTCATGCGTACTTAATAAGACACGTTTGTTACAGGCTTTCTGCATCTTAAAGTTGAGTGAAGTTGTTATGAATTTTGATGTTTCGTTTGTGTGTTTTTGAAGACCGTTAATTATATTAAACTAAATATTAACCTAAACTGAAGCATTTTCGCTATACTAATTACAATTCCAGTTGTATCATGTGGATATCAAGTTCATGCAAAAAGGTAAAAGAATTTTGAGTAACCCAAACCAACAAAGAAAACACATTAGTTTTAATTTTGATATGAGTTTTTCGTACCTAATACAAATATTTATCAATTTATGTTTGGATTGTCTAAGATTGGTCTTTTGATAACTACAAAACTTAAATAAAACCGTACGTAATTATACATTAGTAGACATAGATGTAGAATTACCTAAATTAAAAGTATACTTATTATCTTTTTTGCTAATTCAGTGTACTTTATTTCTTTAGTATATAAATTTAATAACCGAATCCAGTCGAAAACTTAGAATAGTCCAAATAAGATCAGATTTGGGTTCATTTTGTTCAAATTATTTATGATTCAAATAATCTGAAATTTAAAACCTAAAAACCTTATTCCAAAAATTTAAGTCGATCAGATCAGATCAAATATTTATTACAACCTAAATAACTCAAACCTAACCCAAAACCTAACTCAAAATCTAGTTTAGCCACCCCCTACAAAGATAGTCAAAGCCAATCCTGGTCTAAACACAGTAAGAATGGCTAGGCGCGACACTGAGCTATATACAAGTAACAAGTTACTGGGTCACTTATAATAAGTTGTTTAAGTTGCGGGTTGAAACTAGAAAATGCTTTACCCGAAAAAGTTTCCTTCTCGAGAAGAAAAGGGGCTATGTTTATGTTTGTGTATTAGAACCCATATAGGTCAGACGTAAACAAAATAATTGAAACACGTAAATGCGGCGTTAGGCGGAAGTGTTCGAAGTATTGACCAAACATAAACAGTGTTTAAAACCCGACTCAGAGACACAGGGACAAGAACTCAACATCACAGTCGCCTTTTTTTTAACTTTACAAAAAAATACAATACTCTTTTTTTGTTTTCTCCCTTCTTCAAGACGTTTTAAATCTGCAGGCTGGTAAAAATATTCTCTCACGGCTCTCTTTGTGAAGAGGTCAAAGTGTAGAGAACGAGAGCTGCTCATAATTTGCTTTTGGTAACAGAATAATCTACTTTATTTTTCCACAAACCATCCACGTGATACATTTTCTAGTTACAACAAACCAAGAGATCGAAACCCCAGAATATTCAAACATTTCAAGACAATTTACTCATTTCTTTTGCATAATAATAATCAATCGCATTTTTTGCCCACCTCTCCACTCTCCAGTGTTGTCTTCTTCACATAGTTCTTGATATAGAAGTTGAGGAAGAGAGCCAAGAGAGAAGCATTAAACGCACCGCCAAAGCAAGATCCCCAAAACCCCGAGCAACCCGACCCGAAGAAATGCTCTTGCAACATCCAACCGGATATCCCGAAGCTGAAAACAAACTGCACAATCTGACAATCCGTCACCAACCTCTTCCACTTCGGCTTCGATCCGACGGCGCAGAGGAAGTAGTAACCGTACATGATGACGTGGACCGTCGAGTTCACCATGATCCCAGCCGGAAACATGGACGCGCAGGTTCGGAGCCAGATGTAGCACATGATCACAACCGTCGCGTGGTGGTACACGTGGAGGAACGAGAGCCGATGGATTGATTTGCTGAGTAGGATGAGGATTGTGTCTCCGAACTCGAGGATCTTGGAGAGGTAGAAGACTTGAGCCCAGAAGAAAAGCGGTCCGCTAGGTTTCACGTCCATGGGGAGACAGACAGCGCGTAGCAAACGCGCGTGGGATGAGAACAGGGAGAGTGTGCAACCGACGGCCATGGTAAGGGAGAGAAGGCAGAGGACGAGGCTGTGGAGGGCTGTGATTGGTTTGAGAATTCGTGGACCGAGTGAAGGGAGTGCATTGTTGACGTAACGTAGGATGAATGTGGCGGAGAGGTAAATGGAGACTGCGGCGGAGACAAAGACGACGGTGGAGCCTAGGGTTTCACCTTCGGTCCACGTGAAGTTGGCGATCTTGGGGTGCTCCACGAGCCAGTAGGTTAGGGTGGAGTAAACCGACGCCATTTTCCGGCGAAGTTTGGAGGAACTGAACTTAATATTAATTGTACAAAGATAGAGTGACGGCATTTAATTTATATATATGTGCTTTCACATCTTTGTTCTTAAATGAAAAGTGAAAAGTGAAAACCAATAATGTCATTGCGTAAACCGAAGCCATTGCGTCGTAAATGTTGGAACATGGAGTAAACCGATGACTATGCGTCACTCACGCGCAAAGCCGGCCCTGGGAGTAAGCAAAGCAAGCAGGTGCGGGCGGCTCTTGTTTTTATATACAATTTATTCGAGAGACTGTATTTATCAATTTTTTTTTTTGGTATCTCTGGTATCCGGGTCCGAGGAGTCGACCGAACGGTCACCGACCAGTCCTGCTGTTCTGGGCCCAAACCGATGGTCTGAGCTTTGTTCAGCTGTATCCAGTTATTCCGAGGATCTAACCTGAACAGAAAACCCGACTATCCCCTCGAAAGGGGTCCAGGGCCCAACGAAAGGGATGTTAAATCCGTTGTGGCCAAGTGGTTTCGAACTCGGGTCCATATTGGGACTTACCTCCCTCAAGTACCACTGGGATACGACCACTTGGTTTGTATTCATCAATTTTTAACGAAGGATCAGAGACTGTATTCATCAAATTTTTGACGTAATATGGTGAAGAATATAATGCATCATCAGTCTTTATTTTATCATGCATAACGTGGGAAAGTAATATCGTAAAGAATGCATCATCGATTTTTCAGGCTCTAAATAAGTCATGCGTAATTAATAAGACACGTTTGTGTTCAGGCTTTCTGCATCTTAAAGTTGAGTGTAGTTGTTCTGAATTTTGATGTGTTTCGTTTGTGTGTTTTTGAAGACCGTGATATTAAATTAAACATTAACCTAAACTGAAGCATTTTCGCTATACTAACTAATTACAGTTCCAGTTGTATGTGCATATCACATCCATGCATGCACAAATGTAAAAAAAAAATTTGAGCAACCCAATCCAACAAAGAAACCAGATTAGTTTTGGATATGAGCTTTCGTACCTAAAACTAAATATTTATCAGTTTATCTTTGGATTGTCTAGATTGGTCTTTTCATAACTAAAAACCTGAAAGAAAACCTTACGTAATTATACATTAGTAGACATAGATGTAGAATTACCTAATTAAAAGTAGCAGTGTACTTTATCTTTAAAGATAAATATATAATTACTTCATTTTATCACTAGTTCTAATTGTAAGTTAACTATTTATATTTAGTATATAAATTTAATAACCGAATCCAGCTGAAAACTTGGATAATCCAAATAAAATTAGATTTGGGTTCATTTTGTTCAAATTATTTATGATTCAAATAATCTGAACCCAATTTAAAACCTAAAAACCTTATTCCAAATATTTATGTCGATCAGATCAGATCAAATATTTATCACAACCTAAATAACTCAAACCTAACCCCAAACCTAACTCAAAATCTAGTTTGGCCACCCCCTAAGAGGAAGTTTAGGCTAGGAGCGACACTGAGCTATATACAAGTTACTGGGTCACTTATAATAAGTTGTTTAAGTTGCGGGTTGAAACTAGAAATTGCTTTCTACCCAAAAAAAGTTTCCTTCTCGAGAAGAAAAGGGGCTACAATTATGTTTGTGTATTGTGGGCTTGGAAGTTGGAACCCATTTAAGTCAGACTTAAACCAAAATAGAGGGATTCAAACATTTGTAATAACAGGCTTTCGCATTTTGAATTCATTGTTAGTCGGTCTATTACCATGTTTATCATCTAAGAAAATTTTACTATTTATTAAAAGTGTAATAAAAGGACGACCGTCCAAAAAATCCTGTAAAACGTCATTATCAGAAAATGAAGCTTTTGTGGAAAAGTTTCCAAATCTTGAATCCGAGGAAATGTATGACTCAAAATCAAAATTCTCTTGTTAAATACACTCACACACGAGGAGAAAAAGATGATGAGAACCAAAAGGTCAAGAGATTCATTTAAAGTTTAATTTTTAAAAAATGGTAAAAAAAAAGTGAAAAGAGACATGTAAATGCCGCGTTAAGTGGAAGTGTACAAAGTAGTAACCAATCACGAGCAGTGTCTGAAGCTCGATGCAGCAGAGACACAGAGACAGACATCTCTCTCTCTCTCTCCTCCCATAAGATCTCAACATCACACAGTCACTTTTTTTATTCAACTTTTTAAAAAATTAATCTTCTTCACAACATTTTTAAGAAATCTGCACTAGTTTTAAACTTATAAAAAATCCTCTTACGGCTCTTCTGAAGAGGTCAAGAGCGGAGAATCAAAGCTGCTCATTTGCTTCTTCTTCTCTCAGTCTCAGAAAGCTGTCTTCTTTTGGGCATTTGAAGCTGTTTTGTCTCTGGTAAGTGTTTTTCTTTTTCTCAGTCATTCTTGAATCCAAGCTTAGATCCCTTCTGTGTTTCGCTTTTTTCGTCTTTTATATTCTCGCCAGCTTTAGAATTTTCTTTGAGATTTCCGTCAAAAATGTGGTGTAAAGTTTTCTCTTTTTCTGCCACATCTGATCTTCTTTTAAAGACTCACTCCGCAATTAGCGCGCTATGAGTGGACATTTCTCTGTGTTCTCTTTCAGCTTCCTGCTAATATTCATATTTGGATCTGAGATTCTTATTAAGCTGAATATTCAGCTTCATGAATATTATTGTGGCTCTAGTGACTTTTAGCTTCAAGTCAAATTAGTTTCAGATACTTAGAAAAGTACTAAGTAGTGTTCTGTCTTAATCATTCTTCATAATTCAACTTGCCTAGGACACACTGTCAAGCTTTTGAAGATATCTTGAACACACCAAATCAAAATGGACGAGGCAGAGAGCTTTGTCCCTTTCCGGGGAATAAAGAATGATGTCAAAGGGAGACTCAGATGCTACAAGCAAGATTGGATCAGTGGTCTCAGAGCTGGATTTAGGTTAAAAAACTCATTTCTTTCCTCTGTTTACAAAAGTGTTAATGCTTGTGAGGCTCTGATGTGAACTTAATCTATAGGATTCTGGCACCAACAACTTACATATTCTTTGCATCCGCTATTCCGGTTATCACATTTGGAGAACAATTGGAAAGAGATACTGGTACATCAAGAATGACACTTTTGCTCCTCTTATTCATACTTACTATCTTTGATTCTAATCTAAACTTTTGTGTTCTGTTTCTTCTGCAACTTGTCAAGATGGGAAGATTACTGCTGTTCAGACCTTAGTTTCGACAGCATTGTGTGGAGTGATACACTCCATTATTGGAGGCCAGCCGTTGTTGATTCTTGGTGTTGCTGAGCCTACTGTGATAATGTACACCTTCATGTTCAATTTCGCCAAAAGTAGACAGGATTTGGGCTCTCATCGCTTTCTCGCCTGGACCGGATGGTAAACTCAAAATCTTTCTCTTTGCATAACTCATAAAAGTCTCAACCTTTATGAAAGAGGCATTATCTTTCTTTTTTAAGGGTTTGCTTGTGGACGGGGATGTTGTTGTTCTTGCTAGCTGTATTAGGCGCTTGCTCCTTTATCAATCGATTCACTAGACTTGCCGGAGAGCTTTTTGGTATCCTAATCGCCATGCTTTTCATGCAAGAAGCCATTAGAGTAAGACAAAGAGCTTCCTTTACTCAGTTACAACCACACCTTTATACTAGCATTTGCATCAAAAGCTTGATCCTTTACGTTGAAACCCTCTGCTTTTCAGGGCATTGTGGATGAGTTTGGTGTCCCCGGAAGAACAAATCCAAGATCAGCTGAGTTCCAACCTGCTTGGGTGTTTGCAAATGGAATGTTTGGTTTGGTTTTGTCTTCAGGACTTCTTTTTACCGCACTTAAAAGCAGAAAAGCAAGATCTTGGAGATTTGGTGCTGGTAAGAAAACCTTACTGTTCATTCAAACTGTGAATCAAACAAAACCCAAAAAGAAACTCAGGATCATTGGTATATGTGTGATTTGCAGAATGGCTACGAGGGTTTATAGCAGATTACGGTGTTCCAGTGATGGTGGTAGTGTGGACTTGTATATCATACATACCTTGGAAAAGTGTTCCTCAAGGCATACCAAGACGTCTCGTTAGTCCTAATCCATGGTCTCCTGGTGCATATCAGAACTGGACTGTCATCAAGGCACAATCAACGTCCCTCTCAACCTTTATTTACTCTCTCTCTCTCTACTATCATTTAATGCTTTGTGTTTCATAATTATCAAGAAAATGCATGATGAATTGATGATTAAACTTTGCAGGAGTTGCTGGATGTGCCTGTGGTTTACATTCTTTTAGCCTTTGTTCCAGCGTCAATGATCGCTGTTCTCTACTACTTTGACCATAGCGTAGCCTCGCAGCTCGCGCAGCAGGAAGATTTCAACCTGAGAAAGCCTCCTTCTTTCCATTATGACCTGCTTCTTCTAGGTTTCTTGGTAAGATGAAGTTTCTGTTTCTTCTTCTTTCCATTGACTACGCTGTTTTATAACACTCTTGTTTTGTAGACAATCTTATGCGGTCTCTTAGGGATTCCTCCGTCCAACGGCGTCATTCCACAATCTCCAATGCACACAAAAAGCTTAGCAACACTGAAGCACCAGGTTTTGATTATGTCACTTTGTGTGTATATAAGCCTTCAATTGCATTTTTTCCAAAGGCACTTAAAACCGGTAAATGTGCAGTTACTACGAAACAAACTCGTGGCAGCTGCGCGTAAATGCATGAAAAACAAAGCAACTTTAGGGCAAGTCTATGGAAGTATGGAAGAAGCTTACCAACAAATGCAGAGCCCTCTGATACACCAAGGTCCTTCTCGGGTACTCAAACAGTCACACATGCAGAAGGCTTCCGGATTAGGAAACGCAGATACAGTGGTGGATGAGACAGTGTTTGATGTAGAGACAGAAGTCGAGAATGTATTGCCAGTGCAAGTCAAAGAACAGAGAGTAAGCAACTTTCTCCAAGCTGTGATGGTTGCTGGATGTGCTGCAGCAATGCCTGTAATCAAAAGAATCCCAAGCTCGGTGCTTTGGGGTTACTTTGCCTACATGGCAATCGAGAGCCTCCCAGGGAACCAATTCTGGGAAAGGATCGTACTTCTCTTCACCGCCCCAAGCAGGAGATTCAAGTAAAAGATGAAACCTTTCTTCCTCAATCAGAGCAAGTCTTGTGCTTTTCTGCATTATCATGATCTGTGTGAAAATGTTGTTTTGTTGTCAGAGTTCTTGAGGATAACCATGCGGTGTTCGTTGAAACGGTGCCGTTTAAGACGATGGCGATGTTCACTCTGTTTCAAGCGGGGTATCTGCTGGTCTGCTTTGGGATCACGTGGGTTCCGGTGGCCGGAGTCTTGTTTCCGTTGATGATAATGTTTCTTGTTCCGGTAAGGCAATACGTGTTGCCTAATTTCTTCAAAGCAGCGCATCTCCAGGACTTGGATGCTGCAGAGTATGAAGAAGCGCCTGCTCTCTTATCATTCAATCTCAAACCGGTAATAAACTCTCTTCTTCTTCTTCTTGTTCGTCCTCTACAAAAGTTTAGGGCTTAGATGATCTTTGTTTATGTGCATGCAGGAAGGGGAAGTGAGCAGTGCGACGTCGTTTGCGGACAGTGGAGAAGTGATGGACGGGATGTTCACGAGAAGCAGAGGAGAGATAAGGAGGCTGAGCAGCATAAAGCTGGGTGTTGGCGGAGGAAGTGGATCGGCGGGAGGTTCGCCGGCGGGAGGAGTGGAGTTAATGAGAAGAGTGGTGAGTTTTCAGAACCCGAGGGTTTCGGAGAAGGTGTATATACGGAGCTTAAGTGATTTCAGAGGAGCAGGAGGAGGAGGAGGAGAGATAAGTAGTCCAAGGTCGCCAGCCGGAAGAGCTCCTCTGAGTCCACGATTCGCCGCCGGCGGAGGTGGAGGAGAACAGAGACTTTCTAATTTAGGAAAGTCTGTCTAGTCAGCAGTATAGTTGTCTCTCTATTCATATTCTCAAGTTATACTGTTAGAATTGTGTGGTTGAGAAGTAAATCTTTTTTTTTCGACAAAAGTAAAAATCTTCATTCTTATTCCTCGTTTTTTTTCTCATCCAAACAAGAAAATGGCGAATCCTTCCGGTAAAATTATAGTTAATGGGGTGAATGTCACACTGGCTTAGAGGCTTTTGGGACATATTGGCTAGTCTCTGCCTATGTGGATTCACACAATTGACGAAAGTCTTTTTGTTTTAATCTTGTCTTTTACATTCATTCATAATGCCAAAAAGTTTTTATATCATCCATCGATAGAACAGTCTAATTATAGTACGGTAAAAAATTGAGTTCAATATTAATGGTAGTTCTTTATGATCCGACCAGTTAGGGAAAGATTACATAGTCTAGGAAAGATGATCTCGAGAGAGCCTGAACGATGCCGTTTAGTTAGAAACGAAAACAACGACGTTTCACTAGCCAATATGAACGACATCATTCAATTTCAATGAATGACAAAGGAAACGACGTCGTTATGAGTTTAACAGAGCAAGAAGATACTCTGCTTCAGAGCTAGCAATTTGCCTTCGCGTCTCTGGCAGATGACTCATCCTGATTCCTGGATCTCCATGAAATGTAGAAATTGAACGGGGTAAGCTTCTAAATTTCACCATTAACACAACTTTTCAGCTATTGAAACATTGAATTAGATGTTCTAAAGACTCTGTATCACTTACTTTCCCCGTTATAAAATTTCAAAATTTGCCATGTTTTTGCTTCTGGGTCTACTTGTATCCGTCCAAGACTGCTCTTTTCTTCATCATTTGGGTTTTAATTCTCTTCCTTCTGCTTAATGTCTCGATTCAGCTGTTATGTCCAACACCAAATCCAAAAACATTTGGGGTCGTTGACCATTGTTCCAATTCCGGGCATTAGGATTCAGAGAACTAGAATCGGATTATACTCTTTCTAAATCGGAATCTGTGTTTCACTTAGGTGTTGAAGTGATTGATGAATAATGCAGTCATTTTCATTGCTGAATCTCAAATTTGGTTCCACTTCACTCAGAATGAAGAATTGGTCACTGGGAATCTCTATCTCTGTCGTGGTTCTTACATTGGTCTTCGTCATCCGTTATGAACAACCTGATCACAAACTTCCAAGAAATCACACTGTGGATGATGTTAGTAAAGAAGAAGAGAGTGTTCACGAACCAGCAAAGAAGCCACATTTCATCACTTTGGAAGATCTTGATTATCTCTTTTTAAACGAGAGCCTTTACGGAGAAGAAGGATTGCTTGTATGGTCTCATATGCGTCCATTTCTCGAAAGGCCAGATGCTTTGCCAGAAACTGCTCAGGGGATCGAAGAAGCTACATTGGCTATGAAAGATTTGGTTTTTCTGATCAACAAAGAGAAAAGAGCGTCTTCTTCTTCTGCTGCTATGGTCTCTAAAGAAAGTAGAAGAAACTGTCCGGATTTTGTCACTGCCATTGATGGGGATTTGTCTGGTTTAAGGCCTCTACTTGAGCTTCCCTGTGGTTTAACTGAAGATTCTTCAATAACTTTGGTTGGTGTTCCTGATGAAGAACATTCAAGAAGCTTCCAGATTCAGCTCGTTGGCTCAAGACTATCTGGAGAAAGTTATCATCCAATCATTTTGAGTTATGTTGTGAATTTTTCTGAGCCATCCATAGTGCAAAACACATGGACAGAGAAGCTCGGGTGGGGTAGCGAAACGAGATGTCCATGTCATGGATCAGTTAGGAATCAAATAGGTAATGAAACTCTTTTGATGTCACATATGTTTGTCCTTTGCAACTTGATACGTTCCATTAACAGTTCCTCTCTTGGCAACCGTATTGTAGTTGATGAACTTCCTCTCTGCAACCGACGGACCAGTAGAATTGCTTTGGAGGAGAGTCCCAACGGTGATGCAACGATGGAATTGTCTCTTGAAAATGCTAATTTTCCATTTATTAAAGGGAGTCCTTTCACTGCCACGCTCTGGTTTGGCTTAGAAGGCTTTCACATGACGGTAGATGGGCGGCATGAGACTTCATTTGCTTACAGAGAGGTAGAGAATGACTATACAAAGTTAGTTTTGAGGTTGTTTGTTGTTGTTGCTTTGTTTGAAAACCAACGACATATCTGATTTTGCAGAAGCTCGAGCCGTGGTTGGTGAGTGCGGTCAAAGTCTCAGGTGGTCTGAAACTGTTATCTGCCTCAGCCACAAGACTGCCTGTTCCCGATGACCATGCTTCTGTAGCCGTAGAAGAGCAGCTTACAGCTCCATCTCTTTCCGGAGTTACAAAGATAGCATTGTTGGTGGGTGTTTTCTCCACTGGAAACAATTTCAAGCGACGCATGGCGTTGAGAAGATCTTGGATGCAGTATGAGGCAGTAAGATCTGGCAAAGTCGCTGTTCGGTTTCTCATTGGCCTTGTAAGTTACTTCTGAAAAGTGAACATTATTCTCCTTCGGTTTTATACATTTCTTAGCAATAACTTGGCGTTTGTTTTGGTTCAGCACACGAATGAGAAAGTCAATTTAGAGATGTGGAGAGAAGCTAAAGCTTATGGAGATATTCAGTTTATGCCATTCGTTGACTATTACGGTTTACTTAGCCTGAAAACGGTTGCGCTCTGCATCCTCGGGGTAAGACAAAACATATATTCCACTTCTTGATTTGTATCATTGAATCCTTCTCTGATGTTTCTACGTGTTTGTGCAGACGAAAGTCATCCCAGCGAAATACATAATGAAGACGGATGATGATGCGTTTGTTCGGATCGATGAACTGCTATCGAGTCTACAAGAGAAGCCGTCTAGTGCCCTTTTGTACGGTTTGATATCATTTGAATCATCGCCAGACCGTGAACAAGGCAGCAAATGGTACATCAGTAAAGAGGTAACAATCCTCACACCTCTCTTTGCTCTAATCTTCTTAAAGAGTCTTATGGCATTCTCTTTGTGAAGGAATGGCCTCTAGATTCGTATCCTCCTTGGGCACATGGCCCTGGCTACATCATCTCTCAGGACATTGCGAAATTTGTGGTGAAGGGTCATCGTCAAAGAGATCTTATAGTGAGTTTTGCATTTTCATCATAGAGTTAAAGATTAACTAGTCCGAGAGATTATAGTTTAACCGTGTCCTTATTTCTTTTTTTTGCTGAAAGCTTTTCAAGCTGGAAGATGTGGCAATGGGGATATGGATTCAACGATACAATCAGACAGTAAAAAGAGTAAAGTACATCAATGACAGAAGATTTCATAACAGTGGCTGTCTATCAGATTACATTCTTGTTCATTACCAAACTCCTCGGCTTGTGTTGTGTCTGTGGGAGAAGCTGCAAAAGGAGAGCCAATCTGTTTGCTGCGAATAGGATGTCTCAATCTTGTTGGAAAAGATTGAGACTGATGGAATTGTCTGGCTGAGATCTTGAAAATCTTGTTGCTATGGAGGATGATCAAATGTTATGTAATTATTGTTATTGATGATTTGTAATATGTAATAATTTATCTCAATTCTGTAGAATATATTAACGACAAAAGTAGAATTTATTTCTTGCGCTTATCTTATCGTTGCTTGTGGCGAAAACAATCTGAGAAGGGTTTTCAATATTCGGACAATTCGGGATTTACTTAAAAGCAGCACATAATTTATTAGTTTTCTTTCTACCATTTTCTTGTAACAATTTCAAAAAGGATAAAATAAATAAATATAAGGCAAACCCTAGTCTTAAGGCCTTTTTTCACCACTTAACCTCCACTAATATTTCCAAAACTAAGCTATATCCACACACAAAAAAACAAAAGATGTCTAAAATTCCCGAGAAAGAGATAGTAACTGGTGTGAATGACACATTTTCAAGAATAGGTTGGGTTTCGTTGGCTCTTCTTTGCGTTTATGGAGCTGTGAAGGCTGTGAGGGCCATGGAGATTGATGACCATGTGGGTTACAAGTATCTGGGAAAGGCTGTTGTATTTTTCTATCTGATTGATATATTGAAATCCATATTCTCTGAAACTCCATCTCCGGTTTTCAAGGCTGACCGATGGGTAAGAACTTTCGTCCCCTCGATACCGTTTCTCATCATCTTTTTTACCATTTACAACTTCTAAACAGTCCAAGTATATGTTCTGGTAATATCTATTGTCTTTGGATTAGTCCCTTCGGTTCAACTAGCTTCGCCAGTAGAAGGGTTTCACTTTGCTTATGTAGTAGTGCTCATGTTTCTAGGGTGTTTATTGGCTGTCTTTGCCATTGGTTATGATCCCACAGTGCCTTTTTGGTTCCTTTGTCTCATTCTTTTTGTATTTCAAATGCTTATCTGCGGTCTCAAATTTGCACACAAAAAAAAAAAACTGCGGTCTCAATCACCCTGGAAATTATGATTCTTCCCCTAAATTTTTCAGTTTCTATTGAATTATTACTATTCTCTTAAAATTGTCAGATCTGGTTCTTTAGACTTTTCTATCATCTTGTTGTATTTGTCCCTCCTTGTCTTTTCTTTTTACCTTTAAAAAAAACTTCTTTTGATCAGCACTGTAATCCATTGTCGTATACGGAATTTGATCTATGTGATGATGTTTAGTGAATCAATTTTAATGACCTTTTTTTTTCCATTTGCTCTCATATTAAAATTTGTTGCCAATATATACCATTATATTCTTGTATATATTTTGCAACAAGTTATAAGATTCGAAACTAAGTTTGATATGATGTGAAGCTCCAAAAACTGATAAATGTTTTTTTGATCACCGATGATGGAGTGGTTCTTGAGTTTAAAATTCAATTAGAAATGCAAAACTGTAATCTTTTGCCCTTTTTATGTAAATATAACAGAAACATTAAAACAAAGAAAATTTCAATCTTTAATGCACAAAATGTACGTACGTACGTACATCGGTACATGCCGCTAAGGAAAACAAAAATCAGATATAAAGATTCCTTCCTAATGTTTTTCGATTATAATAAGTTGTGGATGATAATAATCTCGCGCAGGTTACGTAGAAAGCGGAAAACAAAATTATCGAAAACAACCAATAAATTATAGTATATATATACTAATCCTCGTAAATATTCTCTCTTGATTTTGTATATAATACGCCGATCTAATCTTAACTTGGTCTCATATTAAATTTTGTATCGTCGAGAATTAACGATCGCGACAGTTCCCTTCCATGGCCAACCCTTTATCTGATCCCCAAGTGAGTTCTCATTACGTCTTTATATGTATTTTTGTTCTTATTAGTTATGATCAGTTTTGTCCTTGGTTATAATATATGTTTTTTCTTAATCAAGATGGTAGATACGAAACCTTATGGTGAGGTCACTCCGATTGGTCGTGCAATTTATTACGTTTTGGGAGTGTCCTCTCTATTTAGTCTTACCTACTCCAATCGTACTCTTTGGCCATCCAAGAGAGAAGACGGATCACTCGTAGAGATCCCAAACTCCAAATACGTAGCCGTGGTTCTCACATCTCTATATGCCATTGGTCTAGCTCGAACGCTCTTCTCCGATCGTCCACCACCGAGCCACAAGATCGGACGACAATTGGAATGGTTTTTCCCATTTTGCCTCTTTATCACGGTATTCCTTATTGCTTTCACATACCGTAGTGACCCTGAAGTGATCTTCTTTGTGACGTCTGTGATCACTTGTGGTATCTCGATCCTCCAGCTATCACATCCCGTGGAGGAATTTTACGTCGGGAAATCTGTATGGGTTATTGTAATGTCAGGTTTAGTTGGTATGTCTTTCTCCTCGAAAGGGGGCCAAGATTTGGGTATGGGATTCTTTGCTGGGTTTTCAAGTGTCTACTTGGGTGTCTGGTCCATGGTGTTACTTCGTGATCCCTAAACACCTGAATTATGTTAAATTTAGTACTCTGGATGAGTCTGTTCTCAATTGTCAATGCTTTTTTTTCAGTAGTAATTGTATTTGGTTAAGGAAAACTCCAAGCTCGTAATACACAGCCTAAATTGATCATAATGGAAAATTAAAATGGTAAGAAATAAGTCAAACATTTTACTCTCTAGCTGATTGAAACGGCATTTTAAAGGGTAATATTTAATTTGGAATAGTATCATCGATCACAACTTCGAAAAGCTTTTCGGAATGCCGTTTCAATCAGCTAGATATTACCCTTTAATATCTTTTCCTTGCACTGCAAGTCATTGACCAAAACTCATGCAGGACAAACTTATCAAGTATCATCATCTTGTTAGTCTTCGTAGGTTATGTGGTGTAGATAGATTCTTGAGAGAGTTATTGATATGGATCTCACTGATTTGTCCTTGGTACAGTACGAAGTATCATCATCTTGTTAGTCATCGTAGCCATGTATGTTGAATTAGAGCATCAAGCACGTATTATTAATATGAATAAGACAAAGGCCCAATACAAGAGTAATGGGTCAACGTAAATCACTCAAGCCCCTCCAATTTTAAAAACCTTCAACAACGGTAACTTCGGTCAAATAGAGTCAAAAGCAGAGCACACAATTTGTGTGATAAGACTACGATCAAACCGCTTTCCCAAGTCCAGCTATCAAACAGATTTGAAGGACTAATTAGCTGTCACTGAAATCTACTGTGACACTTGTTTAAATCCTAGGATCTCTCTTTCTAAGTTTATATACGCGTACCTAATGATGTAATCGAAACTGATCAATAAATGAAATTGCATTTTTAAATTCATCTCTCCTAAATCTTCGTTCAGGCTTTCTTTTAGCTTTCAGCAAATGACAAATAATAGATAAAAAATTAGTATTAGAAGGCTTGGACGAAGCATTTAGGAGAGGACAGATAATAAATACAAACTTATTTACTTTAATTAATCAAATATGCCTTTTTGTGTGGTAATTTTCAATAATTATTTAGACAGAGATTGAGCTGACATTAATTAGGATAATCTTGTGATAAAAGAAACGAGGGATAATTATAGCAAACATGCAAAATAAACATTATAACAGTACCCTAATTAATAAAACGATTATACTTAAAAGGTTCATTACAAGAAAAAAACACACCCTAATTAATAAAACGATTATACTTAAAGAAGTTCATTACAAGAAAAAAACACACCCTAATTAATAAAACCTAAAACGAATATTCTGCTAGATTCTACTCTCCGTCTTCATCCTACGTCTTAGCTCCATCACCATCCTTCGGCTTATCTCCGGCATCATCTCTGGCCCTCTTCTCTTCTTCTTTGGCTTTCTGCTCAGCTTCGCGAGCCCTCTCCTCTTCTTCTTCAGCTTTGGCTCTCTGCTCAGCTTCATCTCTGGCCCTCTTCTCTTCTTCAGCTTTGGCTCTCTGCTCAGCTTCATCTCTGGCTCTCTTCTCTTCTTCAGCTTTGGCTCTCTGCTCAGCTTCATCTCTGGTCCTCTTCTCTTCTTCAGCTTTGGCTCTCTGCTCAGCTTCATATCTGGCCCTCTTCTCTTCTTCAGCTTTGGCTCTCTGCTCAGCTTCATCTTGAACTCGTTTCTCTTCCTCTTTTTTGGCCATACACTCCTCACAACAGGTGTTTCGGAAATATAGAACCAATATTAGAAAACTAGAGACAATAACCATGCAAAGTTTTCCCCATGGCCCTCGAAATTTATGAGTTAAAGCACCTATAATTATTGTGAAAAGCCCATCCCCTAACCCAAAATCATGAAACATGTAGAAGAACTTCAACAGAAAAACAAAATGCAGGAAAGCGAAAGTTAAAACTAAAACCCATAAAATAGAGGCATTTTCAACCTCATGGACAAAGTCCTCTAAGAGAACTATTAGTCTTAACATAGTAAACTGCAAAACAGCTTTCCTAAGCCCCCCTAGAGGATGATACTTGTTGGTTTTTGGACCAACAAGTTCTCCAAGATGCTCATCCCACCACATTTTGGTAGAAATGAAATGCATGTATACAAAAAAAGCTAAACCCCCGACAACAAGTCTCCAATCGTGGGGAGAAGCAGACAGAAGAAGTAGGAAGGATGCTAAAGCAGTAGAACCGGCGAGGATGCCTAAATTTACTCTATTTGAAAGATAATTGGAAATAGCTTGGGAATAAGGATTCATTTCTTTTTCGATGGAATCAACTGTTTTCATGAGGTTGTTATACCAAGGAGCCGCCATAGTAGTAGAAGGAAAGAAGAATGGGAAAATAAAAAGGAGTTTTTCTCTCTGTGGGAAAGAAGAGATAGAAACTTAGACAGCGTAATTTCTATGAATAAAACTCTCGGTTTATATAGGAAGAGAAGAGAAAGGAGCCCTAGCTAGGTTAGACATAATAAAAGCTACTGTAGTGTATAGTAGAGTGTGGGTCCCATCAAAAAGGAGTATGCATTTTGGCGTTTGTTATTTTTCATTATTGGGCAAACGAAAGGTATTAGGTATGAACAAATTAATAATTTGTGTCTCGAAAGAAAAAAGTTGATTTAAATTTAACTTTCTAGATCAATTTGTTCGTATTATCATTGGGATGGATAAAGATACCAATATAATTGTTTTTGTGAATAGATCGTGATATCCAATTCTTCAATATAATTCTTCGTATTATCATTGTTTTTGTGAATCACTTATTCTCTTTCTTTCAAAAAGATACCAATATATTTTGTTTTTGACAGCCACGTATACATTTTCGTGCGAAAGAAAAAAATAACACGTATTCTCTTTCTTTCTTTTTTGGTTTTTCTCTTTTTGGAAAACAAACAAACGTATACTTGTTTTCACTCGTTTTATGCTTGTAAAAGGACAAACAACCGTTGCGCTCTGGACTTGTGTGTAATTTTGTATATTTTGTCGTTGTATCATACAACTTGAATGCATGTAATACGATAGAACAATAAATTTATATTTCTTACGTACACTTTGGATATAAATTTATCCATGTTTTATTATTGACCGTGACAAATTTTGTTTTTCTGATCTATATATGGTACAACACCATCCATTTTTCGATATATGAATCCCTTTTTCAATTATAAGAAAATTCAGTTCAATCCAATTTTCGATAGGTCCAACAATTAAATAGGATCCATTTCGACGATATATAAAAAAAACCCTCTCATTCGTTTACTAGTAGTATATGTCCACGGCTGACTCATCTCCACCAATTTCTATAGCACACAGAACTACAGTTATGACTATATATAAATAGATCGTGATATCCAATTCTCTCATTCTGACTTTAATAAATGTTCATCAATCATCGTATCTCTGCTCTATGGTGGTATATTTTTGTTGAGTTGTAACTTGTAAGTGTTCTTTGGAAAAACAATGCAAAAGCGTATCTTTGATACTAATCAAAAGGAAGAAGCTTATTGGGGGGAAAAGAAAAAGAGAAAAATAGATAGTGTCTACGCAAACATGTTCTTTAATTTTCCTCTAAATCACTGAAAGTAATGTGCATGATAACAGTTTATTTTAATTATTCAATCAATAATCTTCAGTAATTTTATACGACAGATCTAAATTTCAACTCGCTGTCTAATTAATTATTATTACTGATAGATACTGACCACTCGAACCAGAAATAAAAATGAAAAATGATGAGAGTATACATTGTCATTACCCATCTTTATTTATACCAATCCGCATGAGGACATTGTATGTGATATTTGAGGTCCACATCACAAAAGTATTTGATTTGGAAATCTGAGCTGGCTGGGTAAAACAGTCGTTTACCAGTGTGTGCCTTTGAGATAATGCAGAAATCAGAGCCAGCTGGGTAAACTGTTAGCAGCCCGAAGATGTGGCTGACGCCTGACGAGGTGCAGAAGAGCTATTGATAGTACTGTTTTGTATCATCTTTCTAGTCATATTGAACTAAAAATAATTATTTTGTATACAAAACAGATACTATCTTTAGTTTTACGTTTAAAAATGAAAATAATAGTATACATTTGTTATGTAGCTGTATGCGACATGGGTAGGTAAACAGCTACACAACAATATAGGGTCCAAGATAAGATGAATATTTTTCGTCATGTAGGTTGTTTATTCAAATTTCTAGAAAGGGTGAGATTGGAACATCTTTCTTATTTCTTGCGTAAAAATATCAAATATTCACGCGAACGTTGGTAATCGATAGTACACTAAAAAGTAAACTGTCGATTTCACGATTTCGTATTAGAGTTTTGTTTACATGTACTCTATAATCTAATCAAAATACAAGTTATACATTTATTTGTGTAGTGGGCTAGGTATGGTGTGTGTATAGAAAAATTAGATAAATAAAACGACTAATTATATTGATAATGACCTTCACAACACTACAATGCTGTTGCCTGTTATAATACTTACTCATATTCGGTTATCACTCATCAAGTTGAGGTTTGAAATTACTTTTGTAAAACTCGCCCGGTGCAAAACTGTATTATCATCAAGACGTATGATATACATTATTGCAGATGTTGGGAATGGCAGAAATTTTAATAACAAATACATTTTTGAGGAAGAAAAAAATATATCTTATATAAACACACATTGGAAGTAAAAATGATAAATACTTTTCAACTCATATCTTTCGTTTTTTTTCTCAAAAAAACTAGTATTTGTTTTTTTTTTTTTTAATTTCTGACACTCCCAATATCTGTTTGTAATCAATTTGGTAACCTTTGAATTTCCGTTAGTTATTTCAACAATCCTACAAAAAAAATATATCCCTAAAAACTAAAAGCAATACCCAAACTTTAAAAAGAAAAAGAAAAAAATGAAAGTAGAATAAACACCATTTCGTTACCATTTTGTGAAGCTTCATATGTGTATCATGATGGTTAAGACACCAGATTTTTAAAAATAATTTATAATTTTCTTGTTTATATTTGGTTTATCTTCCTTCGTAGGTGTATCAGTTGTATCTCTAGACAAGATGTAGCAAAACTGAATGCATGCGAAGAGCCTGCTATTTTTTATGATTTGTTTCTACCTGCGGATGATTAGAGAACATCCTTTTCTAGAGAATCCGTGTATACAATCCGGAGGATTAATTATATATATATATATATATTTTTTTTAACAAAATTAATTATATATCACGTTATGTTAGAGCCTAGTGATTAGTATTGAATATATACGCAAGATAAATTAGCATCAATGACAATAAAAAACAAAAAAATTAACAAAGTAGCCATATGGGATGGTTTGGTTAGAATATTGGTTGCATAATATGTAATATTGCCAAATTCCCCCTTTGTTTGTAAGAAAAAAAAGTTTTGCATTGTGCATTCTATTGGAAACGTTAAATTCTCTGGTTCTTATTGTGCATTCGATCGGTGATGTGCTTGGGCAATGATACAATCGATTAGTGTTTAACTTTTGAGTTACGATGTTAGATTATTCAGGGTTTGATGGTGTTGTGACTTGTGAGGCAGAATCTCAAGACCGTGATGAACATCATCTCCATTATCATAAACCTGCTCTTACTTTTTCTTCTTCTTAATTATACATATTATTTCTCTCAGGGGTTTTTTATCCAGAAAATGTGTCTTTGGCAATTAATTTCATTTTCCTTATCTTCTTATATATAATAGGAGAAGACTCTCTCCTCCTAGGTCAGCCACGTAGGCAGAACCCCCCCTTAGTGGACCCCACCTTTAAATTAATTTGCTGCATAAATCATCGGCCGAATCTCTTACAATCTTAATCTTAATGGACCCTAAAAATCTAAACAATTCATATAGCCCAAAAACAATTTCCCTATGCACACTTAGATTTAAACTTCAGAAACCCAGTAGCCCATTACCCTCACGCCTCTCTCCCAACCCATCTCCTCCACCGCCATCCATCGTCCCTTCCAATTCCGAGATACAGGAGACGACCTCCGTTTCGGGAAAAATTATGCCACTCGCTTCACCCACTCACCTACAATTACTACCCCATTCAAACACCTATTCAATGCCTCAGATCCAAACCGCTTCTCCCACAACGATTCCACTTTCTCTCATCACACCTATATATAATCTGCTCACCATCACACCACCACACTTCATCTCCAGCAACAGCAACTTACAAAACACATTCTCTCATTCTCTTGCAAAAACATGTCTGCAATCGATGTCGTCGCAATCCCAGCTGCTGTCAATTACGTCACCTTCGACAACCTCAACCTTGGTCGCTCATCCCAACAAGTCGTTGGCCGGCTTCTGCGCTTCTGGGATGCTAAGAATGTCAAAAAGGATGGTGAATTCATGGGCATAGTGCTCCTCCTGCTCGACGAGAAGGTCATATTTCACCAACCCTCACCCTTTTTTACAACATCGTCGCCTGCAATGTTAAGAAATCAGTCCTCACAAATTTTTACTAACTCTCGCATTTGTACTCCGTAGCTTTCCTATAACTGTCAATCTCAAAATCTCGACCATACGTCTCTCTATCAAGTTGTTTTCAATTTCATCATCTACTTTTTTTAAAATCAAAGGTTTTACAACATCGTCGCCTCACTAATAATAAGATTTCATGCTTTGGTCACCTACTGTTTTTCTATATGTTTCCACACTATACCATGCTCATTCTCTGCCTTTAGGCTCACCACTAACATCTATTTACATGATCCTCTACAGAATTCAGTTATCCATGGCTTCATCCCAGCAAACCGGGCCAACGACTACCGTCACCTGTTACAGGAGGGTTTCATATTCAATTGCAAGGTGCACAAAACTCTACAAAATCACCGACCACCCGTTTGTCATTCGTTTCCTCCCTGCCACAACCATTACCAAAATTGCACCTGAGAAGTTCATGCTCCGGAAAGTGGACCACCTACAGGAGTTAGCAAACACTAACCTCGAACTACAAGGTAAACTTCGTTGTGACATAATCATATATTATTTCTAGAGTGCCAAAACACCCTAACAAACCATGCTCTCACTTTGCAGATGTCGTTGGCCAAATCCGTTATGTCCAAGGCTCCAACTTAATGGATCCAACTTTCACCCAGCGTCTGGTTATCCGATTCCTAATGGATTCGTAAGTCTTGAGTACTCATATTATAATCTTTCATTTCCATTCATCAAAATCTCAAACTTATATGTACCCACTGTTCCCCACAGCTCCGTCAAATGTCTCCTTATCACTTTGGGATGACGCAGCAGCCACATTCCGTGGACATCTTGCCTCTGGAGACAGAATGGGTTCCGTCATGTTGGTCACACCCACCACACCACCGTCAATCCAAAACTCTTCGGAGGTAATTTCACTACTCTGATCCACACTATCTATTTAGATTTCCTTATTCCACCTACCTTGCTGTGTTTTCCTTAATCCCTTTCAATATCAAAAATCGTTAATCTAAAATTTCAGTGTTTGAGATTGCGTATCAGACATTGCTATCTTTGAAAACCATAGCTACTGATAACATTACATCACAAAAATTATAGTATCAAACTGTCTACGCTTGCTTTTGATGAGATTTCCTCCTTTCATGCACTCCTTTGCCGCTTATATCTCTTAGAATTTGTCGTCGATCAGGTAGCTTCTCAATATTTTGTTTTGTTTTTAAATTTCAAGGAATTTGTACCTCAATTCGATAGGCGCAACACGTTTCTTCTTCGACGCCAATATCGTCCCCATCAAGAAGTTCATCACAAGGTAAGTACATCTGTCTTTCTGAAACATACATCTAGCTCTCGGAAAAACATGTTTTACTAAACACAGCTTACTCACAATCTATTTCTCTATTTGCCCTTCTTACAGCTGCAACATCTAAACGGACACACAGTTTGTTCGATCAGACACCTCTGATGGAGTTGAAAAGAAAGAAACACTCACAATCAAGGAACTGTGGGCCTACATCTCAAAGACCAATGAACAAGTTGGTTAAAGAATTAACAATACTTTACTAAAACCAACCACTTTACTATGTCTCTTACCCGCTCCGAATATTATTGATTTGTCACAGACACAAGAAGCTGATTTCCTCATCAAGGCAACGATTGTTGGAGTGCTACAAAGGAATGGATGGAGCTATGTCTCTTGCGCTGCATGCAGCAGAAAGCTAGACACATTTGGCAACTCTCTACGTTGCAACAAGTGTGTTGGCCGCAACGTCAGTCACCGGCGTCCTAAGGTACCTCCCTACAACTTCTCGCTTTCAACATGCAGTAAAACATTAATTATTTGACGAAATCAATCTTTATTGATTAAACAGGTATAGAGTTGAGCTCGCTGTCAGTGACGGTGCTGACGACGCCACATTTGTCGTCTTCGACTCAGAAATGACCAAACTAACATCACGACCTGCATCCTCTCTGAGACTCGAGGTAGAATCTGCCACAAGGCTTCATACTTTACACTCGCATATGTTTATTCATGGACACCTATGTAAATTCAAAAGCTTTGCAATTGAATGTAGGTTGACGGTGGTGAGGGCACTGAGCTACCCAGTTGTTTGAATGCCCTGACTGGAAACGGTTCATTTTTCAGCTTAAAGTTACGCCCTTCAACTTCACACCCAACCACCGTAGTTTCACCGTTACAAAGCTCACCGCTGTACCCACCTCGGAGGAGACTTCAGAGGTATTTAGTTACTTAATTTCAAAAACTGTAATGGTTTGCAAGATATTGACTTCCTCAACTTGGCTTCAGGGTTTAACCAACAACGATGGCAACCCACCGTCCCCGGACTCAGCGGCAGGAAAAACTGGGGGAAAAGGGATTGCCATGAACGACAAGCCACAAAACACTGGAGAAGCGGGAGTCGAGTGTTCTCGCAAGCGCGGGGCAGCCGATCCCTAGTGGCTATAACTTATAAGTTTAATAAAGTGTCTCTAAATGGTTTAGTAAGCAAATTCTCCCAAAAATCTATGACGTTGAATTGATAAATGAAACTACTCATATACCGATAATTGTATACTCTCGAGTCTTGAGGAAATAATAAGTTTCCATCATAAATTTGAGAAAAATTATCCTCCATTTTCTCATAGTTAAAGGGGGAGATTTTTCAAAACCATCCATAACGTAAACGAATATATGACGTCACGCAAAAACAACATAAGCAAACATGTCACTAACTCATAAAGAGTAATTTTTTCCATGGCAAAAACACCATAAGCAAACTGTCATCCATATTTTAGATGAATGTATGTGGTTATGATCACCATGTCACTGAGTACTCATATGTCACAAGAGTAATTTTTTCCTACACTCACTCATCCATGGTGATCATAACCACATACATTCATCTAGAATATGGTTCTATAGTACAAAATATCTGGAAATATTTTAGTTTAATGATTTTGGTTAGATTAAGAAAATTACGACTTGTTATTAAATTCTTTGCAATCTCACTAGAAAATTTAAATTTCTGGACTTTTAACTAAAAAATTTAACCAGAATACTTTAAGTCACTCTAATATAATCTACTAAAATTCTACTCCTACTATTTAAAAAGATTTTTAATAACATTAGACTTGAAGGTATATTTCAAATCACTACTCTAATAAATCTATATATATATATATATATAAATAAATCATGTTTAAATAACATAAGATTTATCATTTGAATATAAACCATTTCACATTCTTGTTTGAATTACTTCCTATTCATAATTCACTGCAATGGTGAAACTGTAATTTCTTTAAGAAAATCCCAAACAGAACAAGCTTGGCCAATTGAATTTAACAAAAAAAAAAGGAGAAAATTGGCCAATTAAGTTGGGTTAACAAAATTCCCAACCAGAAGACAGAAGTAAACGAAAATTCAGTGCCGAAATATGAACAAAGAAAGTTTCAAACTTTACTGCACAAAATTGAAGACCTTTTAACAAAAAAACTTTACTGCACAAAACGTACGTACAGGCAACAAAATTCCCTACTATCGACGCTATGATCGGAGAGAATCTCCACGACTCGAACAAACATGGAGAAAATTCGGAAATATTTTTTTGACAAAGAAGATTTATTTTTAACTAGGGCTAAGCCCGCGCGATGCGCGGGTTATGACTATTACAAAATTTTATTACTTCTATTTTAATTGTCATTTGAAATTTGTAAATATTTTGTCTCTTATATTTTTTTCAGATATGATAACATGGTTTATATTGCTTTTATTTCCTCTAAAATCAAATTTCGTAAAATGTTTGCAGAAGGCCTGAAATTTTTAACCTATACTCGAAAATCTAAACCGTATCAACCCGAAATATCGATATCCGATTGATTTTGGGTGTATAACAAATCACCCAATTGGATAAATATTTAATACCCATAAGTATTGAGTAATACCCGAACCAAACTGATACCCGAAGGGTGAGTTGGTTTAATATTACTAAAAATTTTTGATAATTTGAAAACTAACCCTGGTTTTTAAAATTTTGAAAACTAACTTTTTTAATAATTGAAAAGACAATAAAACCATTATCATTTTCCTATTAATACTTAATTTAGATATATATTGAATTTATAAATTCAAATTTAGATATAAAAAAATCTTACTTAAAAGAATTCGAATTACCCGAATTACCTGAATTATGGGTATTGTATATTATTTTGATATTATAAATATAAGATTTTTATGTTTTGATTTTCAGATATATTTTCAGTATCTTAATTTTTTTTTTTTAAATCGGATCTACAAATATTTTTTCGGATTTTCTAGTATTTTTGGGTTTTGGATATACAGTAGAAACTCTATAAACTAATAATGCTAAGACCATATTATTTTAGTAATTTAGCGAGTTATAAATTTATCGAGAGATTATTTGGATCAAAAACTTAGTTTGAGCCCGGAAAGAGTTATTAATTTATCGAATATTAGTTTATAGAGTTTCTATGTAATTTTGAATTTTCGGATGATAAATAACCAAAATACTAAAACCCAAGCTATAACTAAAATATTTTGGGTATATTTCAGTATTCTAAAACTATACATGAACCCAAAAGAATTTGAACTTTTACAGAACCGAAATCTATAAGATATATATGAGTACATACATCACCTACCCAAAACATCCAACCCAAATTGAACTTACCCAAACCCAACCCCGATAACCTTAATATCTATAATTAGGGAAATTTTCATTTTAATACATCAACTTAATTTTGGTGAACAACTTAATACACAGACTTTTTGGGTGACCGAAACAATACACGCCCTTAAAGCTCAGATTATTAACCATATTTATTTGACAACTCATACGAAACAGAGGTTAACAGCAATGTAAACACTGTTCACATCCCGTCAAAAATTTAACACTGGTTTAAAAGTAACTTGACCCGACCTATTATTTTTTGGGTTGATTTTTTGGTCTAAGACCCGAGTTATTCATCAAGTCGAGAAATACAATTAACAACCCTAAATCAAAAATCAATTCCTAAAGTCCCTAGATTAAGAACCCTAATTTCTTTTTGACAAATCCATGAGTTCTGCTACAATCAAACCATTTTTGTTTTGATCTGGAAATAATCTCAGTTTCTGGAATTGGGTAACGACTAAAGACACCAAGTTTTTGGTCCAGCTTCCGCGAAAATGAGGTATGATTATTGTTACTGTCTTTCCTCTTTAGCCATCTCCCTCCTCTCTCTCTATCTATTTCCTCTCTCTCTCTCTCTCTCTCTCTCTCTCTCTCTCTCTCTCTCTCTCTCTCTCTCTTCCTAATTTGATCCCGGCAAATCATAGTCGTCCGAACAATCAGCGTATACTCCGAGAAGATTTGCTCGACCACTCCAATGGTCTGATTTTCGCCACCTCAGATCTCCGACATCTTTTCGGTACCATTTCTAATTTTTTTGCCATTTCTTTATCCGCGGGATTGCAAATCTGAGCTTCGATCCAAAAGAGTCATAGCTTTTCTACCACCGAGATTCACTTGAACACATCAATCGGACCTTTTCCACTCTTATACAGATGGATCTCCACCTTGGGCACCTTCACTGTCGCCGGCCGCAACCTCAATTCACAGTCGGCTTGAGAATCATTGAGTAACGGTGTAGTTTCTTCTTCAATCTCTTGGTAGTGGCCGTTCCGTGACAAGGGTAGAAGAAACGGCATAAAATGTGCCGGTGGGAACAAAAGTCGGAGCAGAGGAGGGGAGACGTCGGAAGATGAAGCGATTAGGGATTAAGATTGGACAAAAATTTAATATTTTTTTTACTAAATGCTGCCACGTGTCAATTTTTTTTAAGTAGATGAATGTCAGGTGTCAGAAAAATGGAGAGAGTTATTCATCTATTATATATAAGACTAGGGTTTGACGGGGTGATAGTTTCTGAATTTGTATTTTTATTAAAAATTTTTATTTAAATATTTCGACATTTTATGCGAGAGATTTTTAACCTTTGTTATTCGTTTATAGTATGAAAATTAGGCATTTTAATCCATTTAAAAAAAAGAAATAAATTAAAGCATTGATCGTAACCACATATTAAATATGATAGATTTAACCGAGATACATAAAACTCAAATAACTATAATATAATAAGATAGTTTAAAGAAAAAAATTGAAAATAAAACATTATTCTTTAGAAAAATTATACATCATGTATTTCATAAGATAAAAAGTTTTAGCTGTGTGGACACGGATTAGAACTAATTTTTTTCTTTCTTTCAAAACTAAAACATGCTTTATTATAATTTCAAAACAATCCAACCAATCAGAAAATAATATGCAGAATCCAAATTGTCAAAACAGCAAAAATATAATTAATTTTGTATAGAAAGTTGAAACAGATAGAGTAATATTCAAAAGTTTAATCAAAATAAAATATTTATAAAAAGAACTTTTTTATTCGATTTATTATAGATTTTAATTAAAAAACCATATTAAATGAAAAAAAAATTACATTTGGATACCTACTAAATGAGGTTATATACGAAACAATTTATATTATTTTGTTTTTAAAAATTCAAATCATAACATGTACAGAAAAAGTTTTAGATTTTTTTTGATAGATTTTTTATATTGTGATTCAAATTATTTTATTAAATAAATTTAAACAAAGATGTATACTGATTTTAAAAGAAATTATTATGATGGAACTAGGAGAGAACCCGCGCAATGCGCGGGTTTATTAAACCAAATATTTTTAATTTAATTATTCAGAACATTAGATTCGAATATATCATTTGTTTTTTACTCGAATATATTAGATTCTGTAAGTTTTGCATTTTGTTTTTTTTCATATAGTTTTAAAATTTAGTTGTTATTTACGTGAAATCTTATATAGACTCATAGTGAATAGTTTCATATGTTTTTTGTTCTTTTATACAATAATTTATCGACTGGAGTTGAGTTCTTCTAATTTTCCTTATACTAACAATCATTATAGATTGATTATTATCCTACAGACTCATAGATAATAATAATTGCAACCCTTTTTAAAAGGAAATGAAATGAGCTAATTAGCCAGTAAGCCCATTTAAAGCTACCATGGAAACGAAGAGGTCCGATAAATAATCAAGCCCATCAAAACGAACAGCATTACACATAATTTTGATTTATTTTTTTTTTTTTTTTACGAAAACGACGTCGTTTTGGTGTAAGACGAAAAAAAAATAAAGCGCAAAACGACGTCGTTTTGGTGTTAGGAAAAAAAAAAAAAAAGAGTGCCACGTGTCAAAGGCTTGAGAGTGTCCAAGCCTTATTAGTTATGTAGATTAAATTGAATCTCATTTCTTCCTTATTTACTAATCTTCGTAGTTGCCAATTAAGGAAATAGAATGATAAATTTAATTTCATTATTTGATTGTAAGCATAATATACAATGACATATATTGTAATTTGTCTAGTAAAGCTTGTCTTAATTAGAAATTGCTCTAAGAGTGAACCTAGTGATGACACCTAAGCAATGACATTTTTGTTAATAACACATTAGACAAAGATTATTTAGTTAGTGTTTTCTCTTTTAATATATTAGGGATTACCCTATCTTTCACGTTTAAATAAAGATAGCCATATAGAAGAAATTATTGATTATGTAAATTATGGATTCTAATAAATTAATAACTCCCCGCAAGGTACGCAGAAAGCGAAAAACAATATTATCGAAAAAAAAATTATTTATTCTATTAACTTTTTTTTTTTAACAATGGCTAGTATGTGTTTTAGATCCTAAATGATGAAACTAAATAACGAGCGTATCGTATCAACTTTCCGATTTGTGCGTATCAACTTTTCTTCCTTGATTTTAGCCTTAGGTATAATATTCCGATCTAATCCGTCGTCTCATAAATTTTGTATTGTCGAAAAACAACGATCGCGAGAGTTCCCTTCCATGGCCAATCCTTTACCTGATCCCCAAGTGAGTTCTCATTACGTTTTTATATGTATTTTTGTTCTTATTAGTTATGATCAGTTTTGTCCTTGGTTATAATATATGTTTTTTCTTAATCAAGATGGTAGATACGAAACCATATGGTGAGGTCACTCCGATCGGTCGTGTAATTTATTACGTTTTGGGAGTGTCCTCTCTATTTAGTCTTACCTACTCCAATCGTACTCTTTGGCCATCCAAGAGAGAAGACGGATCACTCATAGAGATCCCAAACTCCAAATACGTAGCCGTGGTTCTCACATCTCTCTTAGCCATTGGTCTAGCTCGAACGCTCTTCTCCGATCGTCCACCACCGAGCCACAAGATCGGACGACAATTGGAATGGTTTTTCCCATTTTGCCTCTTTATCACGGTATTCGTTATTGCTTTCACATACCGTAGTGACCCTGAAGTGATATTCTTTGTGACGTCTGTGATCACTTGTGGTATCTCGATTCTCCAGCTATCACATCCCGTGGAGGAATTTTACGTCGGGAAATCTGTATGGGTTATTGTAATGTCAGTTTTAGTTGGTATGTCTTTCTCCTCGGAAGGGGGCCAAGATTTGGGTATGGGATTCTTTGCTGGGTTTTCAAGTGTCTACTTGGGTGTCTGGTCCATGGTGTTACTTCGTGATCCCTAAATACCTGAATTATGTTAAATTTAGTACTCTAGATGAGTCTGTTCTCAATTGTCAATGCCATTTTTCCAGTAGTAATTATTTGGTTAAGGAAAACTCTAAGCTCGTAATACACAGCCTAAATTGATCATAATGGAAATATCGAATGGAAAATTAAATTGGTAAGAAATAAGTCAAACATTTTACTCTCTAGCTGATTGAAACGACATTTAAAGGGTAATATTTAATTTGGAAAAGTGTCATTGATCACAATTTCGAAAAGCTTTTCGGAATGAACAAGCGAGTCCAAGACCGGTGTACCTTTTCCTTGCACTGCAAGTCATTGACCAAAACTCATGCAGGACAAACTTATCCAGTATCATCATCTTGAGAGAGATAGATTCTTGAGAGAGTTATTGATATGGATCTCACTGATTTGTCCTTTTTACACTACGCTCGTTAAAAGCTTTTGGGTAGTAATCACCACAATCCATATCCAAACCTACAAAAAAAGAAAATTAAAACGAAACAATAAAAACATTAATTTAATGGTATAATATACAGTTTTAATTTGTGACGACCGGCATCCTCGTCCGTGTCACCGAGCCATATATGTTGTCGACAATGTCGTCCACAGTCGGACACAATTTAGCCAGTAAGTTCCATATCTCCTTTAGTAGTTTGCTTTAAGAGTTTCGAATCGGCACACGAGGGAGTCCCATTCACACAATTGTATGAACCACACTATACGTCTCCATCTTTGAGACATGCGTCTTCAAAACGTTAACCTGGCTTGTCCCAGATTATACATTGCCCTAGCTTTGTTTGAAACAACCTAAACATTCACGAATAAATTATTTCAAATCATCAGCAGATCTCTATATAACCATTTTAATTAATATGAATTATGCTTACTACATACCTTTCCCATATTTTTTTCCATAGCTTGCGGTTAAATGATGCGGCCGTTACGTGTGGCCAACATTACGTGTGGCAAATCGAGAATTGTGTAATCATCAAGCTGAACCGGAGCTATGAATTAACGAAGCGCTCCAACCAGAAAATCAAACAGATCTTTTAAAACAATTAGAACGGTTAATATGGTTTTACGGTTCGGTTATTTGCAATCGGTATTTACCATATCCAACCGGATTGAGTATCGTCGGGAAATTATCCGTAACAGAGTGTGACAGCGAGAGGTTTGAAGGAAGAAGACGATGGCGTCAATGTCTCTCTCGTTTTCTTCTTCGCTATGTTCGTCTCGAATTCCTGAAGCAAAGCGTACATTTCACCAGAGAGATGCGAGCTTCGTCCGATGCGTTTTGGCTGCTTCTAAATCTCCACCAGGAGGAACCACGAAGAAGAGGCTCTGGAAGGAAGGCGAATTCCCTGGAATCTCGGAGCCGACTAATCAGAGAAGAACTCCGATTAAGAATGTGAAGAAGAAACTTGACAGGAGAAGCAAAGCTACCGGATGGGCTAACACCGTCACCGAATCCCTATCCGATTGCATCGCCAAAAAGCAGTGGCTTCAAGCTCTCGAGGTACTTCAATTTCCCTTCTCAATCCCAATTCAGTGAAATTCGACCTAAATTTCGAATTTTTAATTAGAGGTTCTGAAGATTGAATCGATTCATGATCTTAGGTTTTTGGTATGTTGAGGGAACAGCCATTTTACCAACCAAAGGAAGGGACTTACATGAAGCTGCTTGTTCTTCTGGGTAAATCTGGGCAACCGAATCGTGCACAGAAGCTGTTCGACGAAATGCTTGAAGAAGGACTCGAGCCCACAGCTGAGCTCTACACAGCTCTTCTCTCAGCCTACACTCGCAACAACCTCATCGACGAGGCGTTTTCGATTCTTGAACGAATGAAAAGCTTGCCTCAATGCCAGCCTGACGTTTTCACATACAGCACTCTCCTCAAGGCGTGTGTGGACGCTTCTCTCTTCGACTTGGTGGAGTCTTTATACAAGGAGATGGACGAGCGTCTGATATCTCCAAACACTGTGACACAGAACATAGTCTTGAGCGGGTACGGTAGATTCGGGAGGTTTGACCAGATGGAGAAAGTGTTATCTGATATGCTGGTGAGTACTGCTTGCAAACCGGATGTGTGGACGATGAACATCATCCTCAGCGTGTTTGGGAACATGGGGAAGATTGACTTGATGGAGAGCTGGTACGAGAAGTTCAGGAACTTTGGTATCGAGCCAGAGACTCGAAGCTTCAACGTCTTGATCGGTGCGTACGGGAAGAAGAGGATGTACGATAAGATGTCCTCTGTGATGGAGTACATGCGGAAGCTAGAGTTCCCGTGGACGACGTCGACGTACAACAACATCATCGAGGCGTTTGCTGATGTCGGTGATGCGAAGAACATGGAGTACACGTTTGATCAGATGCGTAGCGAAGGTATGAAAGCGGACACGAAGACGTTTTGCTGTCTTATCAATGGATATGCGAATGCTGGTCTTTTCCATAAGGTGATAAGTAGTGTTCAGTTGGCTGCGAAGTTTGAGGTGCCGGAGAATACTGCGTTTTACAACGCGGTGATAGCGGCGTGTGCGAAAGCGGATGATTTGATTGAGATGGAGAGAGTGTACACGAGGATGAAGGAGAGGCAGTGCGTTTGCGATTCGAGGACGTTTGAGATCATGGTGGAGGCGTATGAGAAGGAAGGTATGAATGATAAGATCTATTACTTGGAACAAGAGAGGCAAAAGGTTATGGATGGCTCTGCAGCTACGAAAGAGGAAGAGAATCTCCCTGGATGATTGTTGTGGTTTTGTGAAATCTTTGTAGTACATTTGATTGTTGTTGCAGTTTTGTGTATAAAGCTTGTTTATGATTTGTTGTTGCATTAAAAAATCATGAAATAAGAGAGGATTAAGGTTTATTGTCCGGAATTATATAAATTGAGCCCATAAAGAAAGTGTGACGTGGCCAAGAAGTTGGACGAGTCCAAATATGAAATATTTCGAAGGTTTACATATAGATTCAAAGAAATTTGGTCTACCTTAATTTTTGCAATTCATCATCATCGGTAGTCATATAATTGGATTTTGAAGTTTGTCCCTTGCAAGTTCATCTTTCTTTTTTTCTCCGTATTAACAACACCACCAGATTCCAAAATGACAGCAGCTTAATTCAGTTAAAACATCAAAATGGCTTCAAGACAGCTTGCTTTAGTAAATTGATCTCAAAACAATTATCCTTATATGTAATCGTATTAGGTATTTTGATATAAATTAATAATGTAAAACTTTTTTGACAATATGTAACAAGTTTTTTATATAGAAAACAAAATTATATCCACGCATATGACCTGTACTAATTACCTTGCAACAACGTCTCCATATATAGGAAGAATATCGCAAGATATCGTAACAAACAAAAATATCTTGCGAATATTGTGACGAACAAAAATATTTGGATAAGGACATTCACATTCACATTCACATTCACATTCACAGGGCAAAAAGCACCAACCGCAGTCGTGCTAGACTACTAGGCTTTCTTTTGCTCTTAATCTGCTTCATCGCCAATATAATATCTCTCGCCAATCTCACAATGACTAAAGCTAAAGATATTCGTGTGATCATCGGAATTATTGGTATGGCCTGCGTTCTCTCTCGTTTACATCGATCTATGTTTTTTTTTTTGCGTTGAACTCGAGTCTAATGACGGATCTCTATAAAGTGTCGTTATAATCAATTTTTTATCATGATCTATATTGATCGGTTCGATTGAGAGAACAAGAGTTTCTTTTTCTTTCTTTTTTTTGGCAGAGATAGAATATTCACAATTTCCACATAACCATGGTAGTGAGTAGTGACAAATTTTCTCTGCCATGATGCAGGGAATGTTATATCATCTTTGATCTCCCTTTCACGAATGTAATATCCCTTTTCTTCTTTCACAATTTTATTTTGTGTGTATGTATGTGTATCAGTGTATATATCTTTTATATTACGTACGAGCGTTAATTTTTTGAATATAGTTGTATCTAGTTTGCGACTAACATAATATATGTATATAAGGGTCAAGATTGCGTGTCTGTACTACTATTACTATTTCCCGCGTTTAGATAACGGTTGTTTTAGTTACAGTTATAAACATTTGCAATCTATATAAATACAGGCCAAAGTTAATACAGATATACAAGAAGAAATCAGTGGAGGGATTTGAACCGCATCGTCATCTAGTGTTGATGATGAAATGTAGTTTTTGGGTTTTATATGGTCTCCCTGTTATTCGCAAGGACAGTTTACTCGTCACCACCAGTAATGGCGTTGGTTTCGTGATACAACTTATCTACGTGCTTGTCTTTTATTACTACTGTGAGGAATCAGATGTATGTGTGTGTGTCCCATCTTTTATGCTTAAATCTTTTTTAATCATTACATTGATTTTTGATGATGTTGGTCTTTATTTTGCAGAAGCGCGATCTTTATGTATGTCTTGTGATTGAGTTTATGTTTCTGATAAGCATCGATGCGATCGCTATTTGGGGAATCCAAGGTTTATCTCTTCAGCAAAATATAACTGGTGTTTTTTGCAACGTTTTCAATATTGTTATGTCTCTTTCATTTGCTAGGGTAATCTCTCTCTTCCTCTCTCTCTCTCTCTCAATAATTCTTTTTATTGATAAAAAGGGGCAAAAGAGATTAATTTTTTTGTTTTATTATACATGAAACAATAGAATACAATGTTGGAGACGAAGAGCTTCAAGTTCATGCCGTTTTGGTTGTCCTTTGTTAGTTTCATCAACGCTGGAATCTGGACTGCGTATTCTTTGATCTACAAGATTGATATCTACATCCTTGTAAGTTTCCCCTTAAAAATGTATTTTTAAATATTGATAGATTGTATTTGATTTGTAATTTTTTTTTTCTGTGTTAATGCGACAGATAATCAGTGTTTTTGAAACGTTGTTGTGTGCTTCTCAATTAATAGCAAATGTTTATTATGGCTCGTTAGCAAGAACCGTTCATCCACTGGAGATAGAATGAGAAGTTGAGATCCTGGACAATTGTCGGACTGTGATGCAGGAGAGGCGATGCGTTTGCGATTCGAGAACGTTTGAGATCATATTGGTGGAGGTTATGAGAAGGAAGGTATGAATGATAAGATCTATTTACTTGGAACAAGAGAGGCAAAAGGTTATAGATCAGGCTGCAGCTACGAAAGAGGAAGAGAATCTCCTGGGATGATGATTGTTGTGGGTTTTGTGAAATCTTTGTAATACACACTTGATTGTTCTTGCAGTTTTTGTGTATAAAGCTTGTTTATGAATGTTTGTTGCATTGTTTAGATGAAAATCATGAAATAAGAGATGATTAAGCTTATGGGCCGGAATTAGATATATTGAGCCCATGAAGAAAGTGTGACGTGGCCAAGAAGTAGGACGAGTCCAAATGTCAATTTATTGGACTAGACTTGTGGTAACTGTTTGTGGCTTCTATAAATCAAATCGCTCTGTTTCTTTGTTTTACCGTTTCTTCACAAACAATCAAAAGCGAACCAACCAAAGAACAAATTGAACACATTCTGCTCTGCAAAGAAAAAACAAAAAATCTTCGATCGGAATCATTTGACGGAAATCGAGAATGGGGATTGTTGTCAAGTCTTTCAAGGATCAATTCTCCTCTGGTTTGTCTTGTTAATTTCTGTTTTTTTTTTTAGATTTTTCCCGCGAATCGAAATGTGCGCAGATCCGTGCGGGTTTTGATCGGTCGGTTTTGGTTTTGTGGGTGCAGATGAGCGATTGAAGGAGTCGAGGAACATCATTGCGAAATATCCAGACAGAGTTCCGGTGAGTTGATTTCAGAATTCTCCGTTGATTCCTTATTTTCTTTCGTGGTGGTTGGCGTGCGATTGTAGATTTCCTAGGTTTCGAATAATTAGTCCAATTTTATTTCTTGAGTTGCTCGAATTTCTGGAATTTTGTGTGTTGAATCTAAGGTTTGGTGCTGATCTGATCACTCTGGTCAATGTTAAGGATTAGCTCATTTGTTCTTATTTTAAGAAAATGCCAGATTTAGGGATCTGGCGTGAAATCATAAAGGTTTGGTGAAAATAGGAAGATTTGAATCAACCATTTGATTAATTTTGTAATTAATATTCAAAATTAATAAGAATTATTCTGATCATCTATACTATAGTAAGTATATGATCTAATGATTGAGTCAACCTTTTTCATGATCATGAATCACAGGTGATCATTGAGAAGTATTCAAACGCAGACCTCCCTGACATGGAGAAGAACAAGTAAGTTGTGACTTCACTTTAGACATTTGGAACAAAAATGAAAATATGTGTCCAACAGTACAATGACCATATTTCGATTTGTGCAGATATTTGGTTCCAAGAGACATGACCGTTGGACATTTCATTCACATGCTAAGCAATAGGCTAAAGTTAGATCCATCCAAAGCTCTGTTTGTCTTTGTACAGAACACACTTCCTCAAACCGGTAAGAACAATCGATATTGTAAAGCTCTTTCCAATCTTTTTATATTTTGTTTCTTTCAAATCTAACATAATCATCATGATACGGTGTTCTCTTGATACTATGTGCAACAGCTAGTCGCATGGACTCATTGTACAGTGCTTTCAAGGAAGAAGATGGGTTCTTGTACATGACTTACAGCACCGAGAAAACATTCGGCTAACCAAAAAAGGATTCGTTGCTTAATAATATATCGAATCCCAAAACTCATTCCTGAATAATCCTATTTGTTTGATTCTTATGTTTGTGAATAATGTCAGCTATTGTTGTTGTTTTTATTGTTGTTAGCTGATATTGTACAGAAAAGCTAAAAAGGAAAAGAAACATTTGACTTTGTAAATCATGTGACCCAAAGGCAATAATAAAACAAAAGTGATGATTCACACGAAACCTCTTTTTTCTTTGTTCTTTGTTCTTTGTTCTTCCATCTAAAAATAGGAATATAGTTTCGTGTAAGCACGTAAGTTTGGGGAGATATGGTAAAATGAGGCCTAAAGAAATCCAATGCCGGCGCGTTAAACGTGTCCCTTACGACTTGGATTGTGTGTTATGCGATAAGGTTTTGAGCTCAAGCCGCTAACTTTAGGATATGGTTTTTCTATATTCTTTGGTCAAATTATTCTCTATAAAAATTGCTTACTATTACTTCTTTATACATACAAAATTTTGGTCACATGATTTTTCTGATACCTATCTAACTATTGTCTCTATTTAAAGCTTATCAATGATTAATGACGCGTTGGAGCCAATTATTATAGTCGCTTATTTTATAGTTTCATTTTATCTTAACTGAATTTCAGCAAGAACACCATTTTGTGTTTGAGTAATATCCTCTTTTCACAGAAAATAAAAAAGGTTCCTTTTAACAACTATTTAAACTATGGAAGAAAAAACATATGAATTCAGGATGCTACGATATGATACATGATCCATAACGATTGGATTAAAGCTTCCTTTTCATCCATAACGATTGGATCAAAGCTTCCTTTACATTTTGGACTTTTTGTGCTCGTTAAGTTCAACACTATAGATTCGGATATTCCTCACCGTCACAATTTATTTTGCAAATGTTGATGATGTCGGCTATAAACACGATACTATATAATAAACTAATTGATCCAAATGCGAAATAATTGCCTCCCAATGTTAGTTACAATATTATTTGATTTGTTATAAGAAGGATTAGATTAAGAAAGGATAACAAACAACGTGTTCATTACATTATTATTTGAAAATGTCCCGGTTAAGACTACGTTTCATGAT